GAGCTAATATCCACGCCCATCTTCCTCTACTTTATATGTGGGATGCCTGCAACAGCATGGCTTGCCAAGCGGTGCGTAGGTCCACATCCAGGATCTGAACCAGTGAACCCTGGGCCGCTGAAGCAGAACACGTGAACTTAACCACTGCACCACCGGGCCGGCCCCCCCATATGACTTTTTTTTAATCAGTGTCCATAACAGGCAAACCTATAGAGACAGAAAGTAGATTAGTGGTTGTCAGGGCTGGGGGACGGGAGAATGGGGAGTGACTCCTTAATGAGGATGGACTCTTTTTGGGGGGTGATGAAAATGTTCTGGAATCATATAGTGGTGATAGTTGCCCAACATAATAAACATACTAAAACCCACTAAATTGTTTACTTTAAATGGTTGATTTTATGTTATATGAATTTTGTCACAGCTTTTAAAACAGCTAGATCAGCTTACAATTCAATTGTACAAGTGATTTTTTTTGAGTCAATCATCATATGCAGCTACTGCATACTTCCTATTCCCATCTGGAGCAACTGCTTTCTGCTAAGTTGTCAGCAGTTTTACCTATGATTGCTTCTGTGTCAACTCAGTAAAAAAGGAAACTAATGTCACTGTTATTATGAAAATAGTTTTGGTCTTGCAAAATCCCTGAAAGTATCCCAGAAACCCCTGCAGATTACACTTTGAAAATCACTAAATTAAAGAGTTTATATAAGTACAGATAAAGTATAGAAGGAAATACACCATGCTGTTAACTATAGTGATTATCTTTGTGAGATAAAATACCCAGTAATATATGCAACATTAAATAATAAAAACCTACATATGAAAAACTTTAAAACCCTCTTGAAGGACAGAAAAATACTGCTGAACAGATGAAAAAATTCAAAATCATAAATACGTCACTTCTCTCTGTTAATTTAGAAATATAAGGTAACCTGATAAGTAAAAGTACTAATAAGACTTTTCCCCCTCAAAGTAGATAATTGAACTCAAAGTTCATACGGAAAAATAAGTAAGAATAGCCAGACAAGTTCTGAAAAAGAAAAGTAATTAAGGAAGACTTAGCCCTGCCAATTATTATGCATAATAAAAGCTCAACAATTAAAGTGGTTAAGATCAACTAATGGAACAGGATAAAAAGATCCAAGCATAAAGGGAAATTTAGAATGTAAAAAGGGTGACATCTCAAAGTAGATGGGTAAAGATGGACTTTTAAATAAATGATGTTGGACTGCTAAGAGGTAAAATTAGATTGCTGTCTTATACTATAGACTAGGATAAACTCCGTAAAGATCAGAATTTAGACATAAAAACTGTGACCATTAAAGTATTAGAAGAAAAAAGTTGAGAATGTCTTTATAACCTTTAGGTGAGGGAAAGTCTAACTATTACTCAAAATTCAGAAGTTATGGAAGAAAAGATCGGTAAATTTAATTTTATAAAAGTAAAAATCTATATAGCAAATAACATTAAAAGACAGGTCAAAAGACAACTGTGATTACCTCTACAGGGAAATGAGGCAATATTTATCAAAATAACAAATGCACTTTACTTAAGACCCAGTAATTCGAATTCTAGGAATAACCACCCCCCACTCTCTTACACACATGCACACAAACATGGTAATTCATTGTGTCATTATTGTTTGTAACAGCAGAAGACTAGAAACAACCCAATGGTCCAGCAAGGAATATGAGACAGCTATAAAACAGATTTCTAGGCACATCTATCGTATTAGTTTTCTATTGCTGCTGTAACAAATTACCATAAACTTAGCAGCTTACAATAACACCCGTTTATTACCTCACAGTTGTGTAGGCCAGAAGTCAAACTCAAGTCTCACAAGGCTAAATGCAGTTATTGTCAGAGCTATTTGCTTCTCTGGAACCTTTGGGGAATAACCTGTTTCTAATCTCATTCAGGTTATTGGCAGAATTCAGTTACATGCGGTTGTAGGACCAAAGTCTTGTTTCCTATCTGGCTGTTGGCTAGTGGTTGTACTCAGTTTCTAAAGGCCACTCACATTCCACGGCTACCAGTCCCCCTTTCTCCACCTTCAGAGCCAGTAACAAACTGTGTCCTTCTCATGCTTCAAATTTCTCTTTCTCCTTCTACCAATTTCTTGTGCATCTTCTTCAACTACATCTCTCTGACTTCTGACTTCCTCTTCTGCTTTTAAAAGCCTATATGAGTATATTGGGCTCCTCTGCATAATCCAGGATAAACTCCTTATGTTAAAGTGAGGTGATTAGCAACCTTAATTCCATCTGAAAAGTCCCTTTACAACAGTACGTAGATTAGTGTTGACTGAATAACCAAGGGACAAGAACCTGGAGGGGCACTTCTTTAGGATTTTGTCTACCAGAGTTATAGAGGGATCTCCTGAATACACTGTTCAACAATAAAAGAAAGGCACAAAAGAGTATTATGGCGTTATTATATAACATGCTAAATTTTGTGTGAGAAAGCACAGAAAATAAGCATTTGTCGTATTTCTTATACTGGATAAAGAAACATTGGGAAGATAAACAAGAAACTAATAAAAATATGCATCACTAGAGGAAGAAAAAGGCAGTTAGACTTCTCAGTACCTGCACATTTAAAAAAAAGTTTGAATGATATAGACTTATTCTCTGTTAGAAAAAGAAATACTCTTTAAAAAGAACTTGTTTATATCAGTGTGGACTCATAGATTGTTTTGTGTTTTTTTTCTGCTTTTTCTCCCCAACCTCCCCTAGTACATAGTTGTATATTTTAGTTGTGGGTCCTTCTAGTTGTGGTATGTGGGACGAAGCCACATCATGGCCTGATGAGTGGTCCCAAGTCAGCACCCAGGATCTGAACCAGCGAAACCCTGGGCCACCAAAGCAGAGAGCATGAACTTAACCACTCGGCCACGGGGCCGGCTCCTGTTTTAATATTTTTAAGCCTTTTAATACACCATTGTTAGAGTATCTTCTCCAAGAAGGTTATGCAAATTACCCTTGTATTTGCAATACTGAAAAAATTCATATTTATATATCCTTCCAAACTAGGTAATTAATTTATTTTGAGCTTTGTCCCTTTATGAACAAAGTAGAAATTCACGATTTGTTTCATTTTCTTTTGACTCCTAACAATTATAAACATTTATTTATGCACTTGTCATTTCTTTCTATGACCTGCACTTTATCACAGTCCCTGAAATATACCAGTTGTTGGATAAATGAATTGTCTTTTTTTGAATGTTATTTGCTTTGCTCATTTTTATCCTGAGGTATGGTTCTTTTGCATATAGACATGAAAAAGACTACTCTTGTAAGACTTAAAGTGTATAAAGTACTTAAACGCTACCTGTAAATAACGGGCCCTCCACCTTCCCTACCCTTTCCTTCATATACAATCTCATTTACTCTTTATAAAAATTCTTAGTGGTGGGTGGCATTATTCCTATTTTACACACGAGGACACTGAGACACATAGATAAAGTTGTCTAAGGTTTCTCAATTCTCCTTTGGAAAACAAAAGTAAGCCAAGCTATATACTACTTTCGGGATTCTGTACCTGTGAAAAGGAAGAACTTTTCAAAAGGTAGATCACGTTAAAAGGCTCAGATCATGCTTTTAACACAGACAGTGAAAAGCTACAAGCAATGATCTAAAAGACTTCAGAATATGGTTTCCAAGTGAGAGGGGAAGATTTATAATCCTGATTTATTAGCAAGGTTGACAATAAATACCCTTGAATTAGAATTTGTCATTGGAAGGGGTGAATCCAGGACTGTAGGCCCTAAAGCTTAACATTTTCAGGGGAAGTGAGGAAGACAAGAGGGGAAACGAAAAGGGGAGAGAGGAGGAAGTGGTGGCAGCAAATGAAGCTGATAAGCAGAGGGAACAGAGAGAGTGGTACGAAATGAAGCTTAGAGAGGTAGTCAAGATCAAGATCATGTCGAGTCTTGTAGGCATGGTAAGAATTCTGGGTTTTATTCTGAGTAACAATGGAAATCACCAGAGAGTTCTGAGTAGAGGAGGGGGACATGAGCTGATTTTTGTTTTTAAATGGTTAGTAGGCTACTATGTAGAGAACTGTAAGGGGAGAGAAAGGTATAAGAAGGCAGACCAATTATGAGACTACACATAGTGTACTGGACTGTTGTAATGCAGTAGAGGTGGTGTGAAATGGTCAGATATTAGATATGTTTTGAAGGTAGTGTTGACTAGACTCCTGCCTCCTTTTCTAGCCACCCCCATAAAAACATACAATACTTGAGCCAATCAAAGCTACTGGCTCAACATGCCAGGTTTTTCACTCATGTGCCTTTGGATATACTCTTTTCCCTTCACTAGATACTGCCTGTCTAAACTACTATTCACTTGTCAAGAATTAACAGAAATATCTTTTCATCTGTAAAGCGTTCCTTCATTCTCCCTTTCTGTATTTCAACAGCACTTCGTGTTATCTCTACTATAATATTTATCATACCTGACAGTAAGGATTTTTTAAATGCCTGCCTTCACTAGTAGATTATGAACTCCTCTAGGGCTTAATTCATCCTTGTAATTATAAAGATTATCATAAAGTTCGAAACAGAGATATATAATACTATAGACAAGAACATGAACAATGGTAAAATATGCTCAAATGTCTTGGGAATGTCTTTTGAATTAGAAGTACTTATGTTTGTAAAATCCTAAATAGTCCTCATTTACTTTAGAATGGAAGGAAAGTTCCTAAAAAGCTCCTTCCCCACCCCAACTTCTAAAAACGGATCATATCTCTACTTTCATGAATAAACATTTTCAGTTTTCTGCCATTTTAGGAAGCCACCATTGATAACAAGTCAAGTCACAGAATTGAAGACACATTTGTCATTCTAAATTCTTGTAAAGGCATAAATGATTACCCCCTAGGCATTGGATAAACTTATTCCTAAATATATCCAGAGAACTACTGTATGATACACTTCAGACTGCTTGTCTAAAAATCACTTTTTTTTATAATATAAAAAACAGACTGTAACTTACTAAATCAGTTTCTTTTTTCCTTCTTTTCTTTCTTTCTGTTTTTGGCACCTAGTGGGAGAGAGAAATACAGAAATCGTGAAATAAAGACTACCATACTTTCTTGCTTCTTGGCAAATGCTGAGATTTTTGCTCAACAGATAATAGAGTAAGCAGCAAGAGGAAATGTACAGTGCTAGCAAGGCAAATGTGAGAAAACTTTAAAGTTTAGTAAAACACAGTGCTCATAAAAGCAACAGAATGGAAGGATACTTTAGAGATTATTGTCTTCTTAAGCCTCACTTCTGTCCAGAAGCCATACCATAATGACTATTTTAATCATTGATTAGATGATTAATTTTAAAGATTGCATTTTCCATATTTTGGCTCTAGAAAACTCTCCATCCCAAAGCTAAATATAAAAAGGTATCGTTTCAGACACGGAAAAGCTCTTTTACATATGACATTTCCTGATAGCAATGGTATAAAATAATCTAAACCTAACCTTTTAAAATTATAAACAAAGGCAGTATATACGTGGTAAGAATCTTCTTCTGCCTAACAAAGAGTTTAACTTAAATCTAGAACAGAAGAACTTTCAAGGGTTTATTTATTTCTGACTACTTCAAAAATGATTTAAGATGGTATGTAAATCTAAACACACAAACTAGAATAAGTGACAATAAAATGGGACATAATTAATAGAAAAGATTAATAGTATTCCTGCTATCTAATAATTGGATACCTAATTATTTCAGCTGGGGTACTGAAAGGAAACCCATTAACAACTTTATATAAGCCTGCTACCTCTTCCGTAATACAGGTTTCATACTAATAGTTATATAATAGGGCTGAAGCAAGAATTAAATATCAAACACCTAGGACAATTCCTGGCACGCAAGGAATAAAGGTTATTATTACTGTTATATAGAGTTCCAGAAACACATATATTCCTAAAACCTAATTCAAGGAGAAATATAATTTGTGGGTCCTTACATAAAGGCCACTAGATGATACAATTAATCACATCTTTAACCACTGTTTTTCAAAAGGAAATTCATGTATTGACCTCTATCAAAGCTGAGGGCACAACATTTTAACTCTGTAAAAAATGTATTAATTGCAGAAGGTTTAGATAACATGGTCTGATGAACTTAGAGAATGGAGTTTGTTGGATCTAAAATAGTACTAAGTTGACATGTTTACTCGAATATCTTTCTCAAATATCAGATGTCCCAGATTCTTAAGAAGAATTCATAATTGAATCCTTTTACAAGTCAAAATATATCATACTTACCTTTGTGGGTATACAATCCAAAGTCTTGAATTCATTCATATATTCATCTAAAAACACTTTAAAAGTGTTGACCCAAACTCTGACTGGAGATTCATTCCAATCACGCTGCTCAAGCCTCATGGTCTTTTCCAGAATCTGTTCAAATAGTGCGTAGAGATCTTTATACCGTATGCTTTTCCCATCATCTATCTAGTAAGAATAGGAGAAGAAATGTAAGGTTTTTATGAAGAAATTCTTTAAATATAGAAGACTGATTCAAAATATAAAAGATTGGGTAGTTCAGAATAAAGATTAGGATCCTAATATACTTTCTAATGGACATGCCCATGAGGTCATGTGGTACTTGTAAATTCCCACTCTACTGTGGAACATCTGAAGAATAAAACCTGCTAAATTGTAGTAAAATACTTAACAGTTTAAACAATGTGATAATTTAAGAAACTCCTGGGAATTTCTCCCATAAGTCTGGTTTTTTAACTATGTTTAGCTATAAAGATTATTTGCATCCTTCTTCTCTATCTCCCCAGGAATGAACCTTGTTTAGACAGTTCCACTCTAAAATTGAAAGAGTCAATACTTGAATCCTTGCCTAATGACACATTAGGCAACCTTTATTTTATTTTTCCAAAGAAGAGTGACAGATCCAGAATGACACCTAATTAATTGCAAAGAAATCTACAGGGAATTCCTTTTAACTTATCCAAATAAGGTCTGAAATCTTTATAAGAGAAAAAAAAGTCTTTAAGTGACCAAAAAGTGTTATATACATTTAGAGTTTATATCTCTTTCACCTTCTCAGAATTAGAAGTTGAACTTTTTTGATGCAGGGTTAAAAAACCACTATTAAGCTCTGTTTCTTACTGCTGGCTCTTACGTGATTCAAAGTGTACTGAAGCATCCAACAAGCCTGAGTCTCTACGCCAGGAAATCCAAGTATGACGTAGAGAAAGAGATGAGCATAAGTATTGGGCAGGATTAGACAAATATGGCCAACCTTGTCCCTCCTCAAACCTAGTCATTTGTCATAGCCTGGTTACCACTTTATTATGGTCTTGAAATTCCTGTTCTCTCAGACTATGTAGTTCCTGTTTTTAAAACGCAAAAAATCTTATACTGGGAAAGAAAAAATAGAGGATATACAAGAAAATCCATCTGATTTCTCTTTTCACAATGGATTATAGATTGAACAAAGAAAAACCAATTAAATACAAATTATTTTATAGAATATGACCATTCATAGATACTAATAAAGATTCTATAGATCAAAGCACTAATTACTATATACTTTAGCATCAAAAATAAATTTTCTAAAATACAATCAATATCATATGAAAGTATAAGGTAAATCTGAAAGTGATATAAACTGATATACAGAAATCAGTGAACATAAACAGTTCTAATTCCACTGGGAAAACATGTATACTAATTCCACACATGTGAGAATTAGAAGCTAGAGCTACAGCTAAAAGGATTATGAGGAGTCAAAATAGTAGAGAGCCACTGGGTGAAACAGAATCATACCCATAGTAATTTGAATTCAATATCTTACGAAGATGCAAATATATCCATGAGAGGGAAAACAAAACTACTCAAGGAAACTCAAGGAAGTTATCAATCTGAGGTCAGTCAGTACGATTTTCCCTACCTAAAACAAAAACAAGGAACCAGAAAAACCTCTAGTTGCACATGGCCTCTGTATTATATTCTATGGCATTGCCAAATTTCTCATATGTTGAACTACTGAATATCTCCTAACACAGTCCAACTTACCGCCAACGCAGATGAATAAAAGCTGAAGATATTCTGCCGAAATTCTTTTAGGGCTTTTTTAAACACAACATCTACTAGTGTGTCTTTCTTGCTGTCTTCATTATCTAGGTCATTCATCTGGGGACCATAGAAAGAATTTTTGTACACAATCAACTAATTAAAAAGAGGTGAATGTAACAGTGGTCACATATTGTTTCTTCAACAATGACTGTCCTAAAAGTGCAAGCCACTGCTATTATGGGACCCAGGTAAAAGCATAACTAGATAGCCAAAGTTTTATCACTACTAGATGATTTCTAAGGTCTCTTCTAACATTCTAAGATTCTATAGTTCTGCTACCATCATAGCAAAATGGAAGTTAACAGTAAAGCCCAAAACCTTAAATCCTGTCTACCCAGTCTGACTAATGCATATCCTATTATTTGTACCTTTCTGGTAGAGAACAGACCATTTAACTTACTGAAGCATATTATAAACTTTGATCTCCAGGGGACATATCGTGATATATACCAGTATTCCATAGTCAAAGCTGCTCAGGGGCCTAACTCAGCACGCAAAGTGTACCTTTTTCAGAAGAAACTCATCCATGCTTTTTAAATCACTGGCACTTGCTATGATCTGAACAGAGTCATTTTGCCATTGCATAGACTCCAAAGCCACGCTGCTGATCTTCACACTTCGCTTGCGCTTTGCCTTTGGAGAAGGCTCTTTATTCTCTTTGAACTCCTTCCGGCAACTTCCAGGCAATTCTGGACTCAAAGGAGGAGTTGGGTGATACTGAGCTAATTCTACAATTCAAGATAGAGTATCAAAAAAAAATTTAGTATAAATATTGAAATCTCCACATTCTTCTTTTTAAGTTTAAGTTCCTTTAGAAAGTCACTGAAGGAAACATACATCAATATCTGAAAAGCAAAGTAACACTAATGTTTGAGGTCAGGCATTTAGGCAGTAACTCCAGATTGCACATTTGGACAGAAAATATATTTAAGAACTACAACTTTTCAACAGGAAATGCTATCGTGTCTCCCAAGGAGCTGAGGTCTGATACTGAAAATCTAGATGGAAGAGTCTTGTAGAACCGAAGCATGGATCCCAAAGACCTCAGTTCCAGAGAAAAGAAAGAAGAGTACACAATCACCCTAGCATGTTAAGTGCTGATTGTTAATCCAGTCACAGCTTTATTATATCTGTTTGAAAGAACATCTAGCTATATACAAGTTCAACAACCAGTGAAGTTTGATGATTATTATTATTTCTTGACTAGGATCTGAAGCCATAAATGCTTCAGAGATAACATCTGGTTATCTGGTTACCTGTTTAGGGAGCCAGGTAACTCAACTGGCTCACTTCTGCTTGGGTATCCTTAGTATTCAGGATTTTCTTATACATCTTCCAAATAACTGTCTGAATTTCTCAAAGAATTCCTGGAATGAACTAGCTTTGTATGCAATATTGGAAAGCACAGCAAATTTTTTCTGCAATTGTTTATACCAGAGAAATTAGATTTAAATTGCCCATTACAATCAGCACTACACCGGATTTACCAAAGCCCTACCTGGGGCTTGATGAGAATGCTGGCCCCTTCTCGTTTCACTTATCTGTTTGTTTCCCCCACATGCATTCACCTTATCGTCTGTCCAATGGTATATCCTCACTCCATCTAAAAGCTAATGCCGATCATGAAGTAGCCTCCTACACGCTAAATGCCACCCCAGGAGGTGAGACAGACTCAATCTCAGAAACGGTACCAGAATAAAAATTATAAAGATACAAGATACAAGTAAATTCAAATTGGTATCAACTGATTTTAATTCCATTATATAACCTAGATATATAAGTATGTAATTATTTCATTTAGCAAAGTCAATATCTTTCTTAAAAGAAATAATGGTTAGTAAGAAACTGTTTATAATCCTATTTCACCATTAAAAACAAAGGCTACGTTAATGGATTTCTACCCAAAGATAAATAAAAAGCTACAGTCTTAATTTTTATACATGTATCCTTATGAAGCAAATACACAATGAAGTCTGTCATAATATATGCTTCAACTAAAGAGCTTTACACTTCCTTCTTGGGAATTAGCAGTGGAAAATGAAAATTTTAGAATTATTACTGTAAACCAGGTAAGATACAAGAAATTGATCCTCTTAGTAATGTAACGGTAAGAAATTCCAAATTTTCCAAACTAAACTTGTAGTATTCATTTAATTTATTATTGTTTTTATCCATACCAATTTGTCAACTAATAGGAGCAAAGCTACAAGACACAAAAACAGGGCTCTAACTACATCTCTACCATTTTTATCTCTGACATACAGGTGCCTCCATTCTGACTCCTCAATTTCTATATGAAGCTTGATGATCTTTCCTCCTTGTCCCTCTATCTTATCTTAGACATGAGAAGTTTTGTTTACTTATTTTAACTGGGTCTGTTCTATCTTTTGGTAAGAGATAATAACTTTCTTCCTTGGACCTCTTTCTGTTTTATGCAATACTAGTATTTCACCCACTCATTACCACATACTCCCCTTTGATGTATGTCCCTGGTGAAGATGACTGGCATTATTACAGAGTAAGTAAAAACTCTCTTACATACTTTAGCAAAGGGCTTGGGAACTAATCTTCTAATGCGGGGATTATTGGAATCTTTAGAAAGTTAGTGATTCTGGCATTTAGAAAGGCCAATTTTCTCAACAGACTGTTGACTGATATGTGTTACGTGTTTCATATGTGTTATGACTGATGCCCAAAAAGTCAAAATAACAGCTACCATTATAAAGTCCCAGACATTGACATATAGCAGGTACTTAATAATGTGGACTCTGGAGCTGGACTGCCTGGATTTGAATGTCACCTCTGACAATTACTATACATGTAGAAGCAAATAACTTCTCTGTGCCTCAGTTTTCTCATCTATAAATTGGGAATAATAACCATACCAACCTCAAAAAATTGCTGTGAGGATCAACTGAGTTAATACATACAACACGCTTAGTACAGTGCCTTGTATGTAGTAAGCACCCAAGTATTAGCTGCTGTTATCTTATTAATTGCTACTAATAATACATATTTGTTAAGTGAATGAGTGATGGCTAAATTTTTACACTTTAGAAAACTGAGGCTAACTGAAGATTCATAACCATTCTTGAAGTTGTTTCACTGTTTTGTGCCACATTTCCTTGGAACTTCTTTTATAGGTACAATGTAATTTTATAATTATCTTTTAGTTAAGGAAGAATTTAACACTCCTGGTCTTATCTCCTTAGAACATCTAGCCAACAGGACTACCATTATGAATACTAGAGGAACAGTAAACATTCAGAAAAAGTAAACAGAAATTACGAAGACAATCTCCACCCTCTGTCCATTTTTACCCTCTGGAAACTGATGAGCTGGAATCATCTCTGAGCCAGCAAAGAGTGCCAAAACCTCCGACTGGGTGGCAGGTTTCACTCTAGTAGTCTTCTTCTCCCCTTGTTTCCCTTTGGCCCAGAATCTCATCTTAGCTCTCTGAGGTCTATTTTTAAAAAATAAAGGTAAAAATGTAAATCAGCATGTCCCAGTAACAATATTTGTACATTACTTTAAGCTATATAAAGATCTTTCATCTGTATTAGTTCATTTAAACTTCACACTTAAGTTTAACCATATTTAATCTTCAATTTAACATCTAAACATCTGGCAGGTTACTTTCCTCACCTTGAACATAGAACTAATAAGACTCAGAGACGTTAAATAATTCCCTAACACAAAACAGCTACAAAGCAGTGGAACTGGATTCTAACTTAGGTTTTCTGATTTCTGATCTGATATCTTTTCATTCTTGTCCTCCTTCCAGCTTGGATTTAGTATATGGACAACTTAACAAAGAAAATACTTACAAAGAAATCACTGATATCCCATTACTGTAAACACATTAGTTTACTTTTTTTTTGGTAATTTCCTTCCAATCGTTATGCATATAAGCATGCCCATTTTTACACCACTGCAATCATGATGCAGATACAATTTTAAACCTTTCCACTTACCATTGTATAAGAAAGGTCTTAATGTCACTATTTTATTTTCACGAGTTATCAACATTAACAAAAGCCACCACTTAGTTGCGTTATCTTGCTCCGGGCACAAGTGCTTACACAGGATTACCTTACTTAATTGCAACGAGAAGTTTACTTTCAAACTACTATAACCATTTTACAGGTGAAAAACTGGAGGCTTAAATAAACATTAGGTAACTTTCCCAAGGTTACATAAGCAGTGAGTGACAAAGTTGAGAATCACGCTTACTATGTATATCACCTCATTCTTAGTGCTTATAAACTCTCTCCCGTCACATAGATCAAGGAAATACCTTGAGATACTAACAACAGCTTACATTCATTGACCATATAGCATGTATCCTAACTCCATACTAGGAGGCTTATTTATACATTAATTTGTTTGTTCCTTTGTATGTTCACTTAGGCAATCAAAAAAAATTTTTGAGCATCTACTAGGAGCCAGGCACTATGCCTCATTTGATATGCCTAATTTTCACAACTACCATGATAAAGAGGTATTATCCTTACTTGACATATGAGCAAACTGAGGCTCAGAGGGCTGATGGAACCAGCAGTTAAAGTCAGGTCTATCTGGTTTTGAAGCCCATGTTCTTTTTTCCTTTGTTCCTTTTTTTCCTAAAGCTTATTATTAAACTTACACATCCAGAGTGTAAAGAGAAATTGTTTTACAAGCCTGATTACAAATGACAGCATCCTTCTGCCATTCTCATTCCTTTTCTGCTCCCTGGAGGCAACTCTTTTGAATTGATTTATGATTCTTTTAAGACTCACCATCCTTATATTGCTATCATACTTGTGACCACAGTTAATGATTAAGCATGTTCTATCACTCCTGTTCTACACTGTCCACAAACAGAGACGTGTCCCCAATTGAATCATATAGTAACTTTAGTTAGATCAATATACAGTATTTTCTTTTAGTAATTATTATTTTTATTATGTAAATAATATTCACAACTGAGGCATGTGCATAACCCATTTTTTTTCAAGAGTTAATAAATGTTTTTACATTTGCTCACTTTTCTACATACAATTCACCTCCAAGTGTTTCCTCGTTTGTATATATTTCCTTTCAACATGTTCAAATGTAGTACTCCATCAGTTTCATGTTCTTGACGAAATCTCTCCCTGAACCTTCCAACCTGCTCCAATCTGGCATAGTTTCTCTCAGTGTTTGCTGTACAACTATCATTTGAAAAGCTACTTTTACCATAATGGAGATTGCTTTTGTCTTTATTATGTTATAATGACATGTCTTTTGGTATGGGTCTGTTTTCATCCATATGTTGGGCACTCGGTGGGCCCTTTCAATCTAGAAACTCATGTCCTTCAGTTCTGTGAAATTTACTTGAATTACTTTATTAATGATTTGCTCCTCTCCATTTACTTTGTTCTCTATCTTTCCAGAGCTCCTATAGCGGGTCACTGGATTTCTTGAACTGCTCCTCTAATTTTCTTATCTTTTCTTGTCTCTTCCATCTCTTTGTCTTTTTGTCTTTGTCTTCAACTTTCTGAGATACGTCTTCAAGTTTCTTTCTAACTCTCCTGGTTGTTTTTTTATGCTATCATATTTTTAATTTTCAAAAGCTCTTTATGAATGTTTGTCTTTCGTGCATTCTGTTTGGTTTCACAGATGCAGTTATATTTATTTATGCAAAAGTCTGTTGATAGTGTATTTGACTGTCTTGAAGTTTTCTTTCCTCTGCATAGTTTATTTCTTCCAAGTTGTATTTTATCCATTACTTTTAGTTTCTTTCATATAAAATGTTTCCTCAAATGTGATAAAAAGTAGGATTAAAAAGAAAGGTATTTGGAAGCTCTAATGTGTGTTGGTGGGGCTTCCAAACCATGGTCTTCCTTGTACAGTTATCTGGCTGGTCCATTTTTTAGGGATGACCCTGATGCCAATATCTCTAGCTCTTTCCTTGAGGGTTGGACAAAAGCCCCAAAGACTCTTTGAACCATCTGCTTAAAGGGCATGTGAAATGTGGAAGTTGAGTAGAGGAAAAAAGCTGAGGAATCTTAACATTCAGTATGTAAACATTCATTAAATCCTCCTGTGGCAAATATGTATCCTAGTCCTCAACTGTATCTGACATCCTTCAAGTGCAGAGACGTTCTGTTTTATCCTTTCCAGAGAATGAATCTCCTATTTTCTGCTAGCACTGGGGAAGGTCAGTCAGTTGGATGTTCTTTCTTAGCTTTACCCAGCTGATTTACAATTCAGCTTTCTCCTGCCTATTAAGACATTTAAAATTTGTCTACTTACTTTTTGGATTCCACAATTTTATTATTATTGTCTCCTGTTGTTTTTTTGTTGTTGTTTGTCCTGTATAGGTTTTGTAATTTGAGCAATTTTAGTGAAGGGAGTGGAAATTAAATTTACATATTTAATCTGCTATCTCTAGCTGTATGTTCTTCCAACTATGTTATATCTTGTTTCCCAAAATTTGATCTCCAGCATAATCTGCTCTGGATTTGGGTTACTTTGGATGATGCCTCTACAGTCATTGAGAAAGTGGTCTTTAATAGGGTTATGAACCATATAGATTTCAATGTGATCTTCAGGTGTTCGGTGAGGGCCCAAATGCCTTGTATAACACCATAAGGGACAAAGATATTTACTTGACTAGTAAAAATTCCATATACTCTTCTAAAGAGAACAGAATTGTTTCCTGAAAGTCCTTTCCAATTCCATTTGTAAAACACTTAGTTTAGAACAGAATCCAAGTCCAAAACTGGAAAATATTTTCAATCTCATCTGTTCTCTTTTCTTTTACAACAAAAAAAATCACAAGTCATATAATGATTTAATGACTGCCCAAATCACACTACTAAACATATAGAAAGATACAGCTCTTTATATATATTTATATCTCTGAACCATTATGTGCCTGTCACACAGTAGGTACTTAATATTTGTTGAAAAATAGACAGATTTCAAAACTAGCTATTCTATCAATTATGCTTTTAAAAAGAGGTTCAGTGTTTAACTACAGTTAGTAGTAAACAAAATTATATTACCCTTATTAACTCTCAGTGTATATTTTATACCTTATATCCAAATCTGAAGCCTTCTGTCTCACTGCCAACTTTGTAATCTCTCCTTGAGACATAGTCTTATGAAGCTTTGCTTCTTCATCAACCGAAGAAAATCGCTGTGATGTCTGTAATAATCACATACATGAACAACTTTAAAACCAAGTAACTACATCATAGCACTGTAATTAAAACTCAGGTTATAGATTATTTGAGAATTACACCTATTAAAAATATACAAAAGTACATTCACATTATTCAGAGATTCACTGAAATAAAAGAACCTACTAAAAACTCTATTAATTTCCTAAAGTAAAGAGACTTGATAGGATCTACCAGATCATGTTTTTGGACAATTTAACAAAGAATATCAAGTAGAAAGGTAAGAAAAAAGTCAAAACTACCTAAAGAAACAGACAAAAGATCCAGGATCTGATAAATCTAGAAAGCTAAGTATAGTCGTTCATACCTCCTTTTATTTGTCCCTAAAAGGTGATGATTACTTTTATGGCTTAACTTTCAATTATAGAGTCTTACTGTATCCAGTCAAGGATTTAAAGAAGCCAGAACACAGGAAGATAAGAAAAACCAAGGGACCAAAGAATAAAAGATATTATCACCACTAATTGTCTAAATTATAAACAACTTACATGGCTACCAAACTGGGACCTGAATTTCAATTGTCAATTCTTGTTCCATTTGTTTAAAATCTGCCCCTTTAAAGACAATCCCATTTGGAGGAGAGAATTTCTCACTACTTATTCAACTCATTTCCTAATATTTTGTTTTTCTATAGTTATAATTTCTTCTCTTTAGCCTTTTGGTCTGCTTGACTATGGCCTTATCAACAGAAACAGAAAACATTTTGAGTTGTCAAAATTTAAAGAACAGACTTCTGCTTCTGGCCAGGATGGAGTAACAGGGACTTTTTTTTACAGTCCTGCCTAAAAGAACCAAAACCAAAACCAAAACCAAACAACCACCCAGACAAAATAATACAAAACAGCAGCTATGAAGATGATGGATAGTTATCCCTGAGAGATGGGAAACAAATGAAGTGAGTCCTACAACTGCCCCAGTTTAGTGCCTTGAGACAGTTTCCAGGCTGTGACACAGAGAAGGGGAATCCAGGTGAACCTCGGCAGATTCTCTGAGTTGAACACATGAAGCTGAAGGTACAGAGAAACCAGAGTGACTAGAGACCAAAAGACAGAGTACTGGAGAGGGGAGAGATACATAAAGAAGGAACTTTAGAGATCTTCAGAGAGGCCCCATTGAGTATTTAGCTGACAACTAATCAACACTTCTGTGTCAGACAACTACCCAAGATGAGGGAAAGGACCACTAGAAAGGATTAAAGATAATAGTGCCCAGCACTCACAAAAGGTCAGTATGAGTGTCTGTGCCCATGAGTCAGAGTACATAACCTTATGATTCCCAGGGTACCAGGCAATGTACACAAAGGATTTTGCCTCAATAGTCAAGAATAATGAGCCCTAGACTAAGTACTGCTCTGCTTGAACTTAACAAATCTTTATTTATTAAAAATGTACATATTTAAGGTGTATAACATGATGATTTGATTTACATATAAAGAGTAAAATGATTATGGCAGTCAAGCTAATTAACATATCATATCCTCACATAGCTACATTTCTTTTTGTTTTTTGGTGATAAGACTACCTGAAATCTATTCTTTTAGCAAATTTCTGGTATTCAATGCATTCAGTCTAAGAAATCTCAAAAGGAAGACCTAAAAGGACCAAATTGCTTCCAGAAGAAAGCTCTGGAATATAACAATCTCAAGAATATTAATCAAATACAAAGGTATCAGCATCCAACAAGGCAAAACTCACAATGTCAGGCATCCAATACAAAACAATTAGGCATGCAAAGAAATACAAATATATGGCCAGTAATGAGGGAAAAAACAATCCATCTATAATGACTCAAAACTGACACAAATGTTATAGAGTACTGGTAGATTAGAGAACTGACTAAAGGGAACGGATTTAAATTGTATGTGATTCAAGGTGACAAGTTTTTAAAGACTTTGCTTCTTAGGAAGAAGAAGGTAAAAAGGAAGGAAAGCGTGTCCTTTAGAAATTGGGTAACAAAAGCAAAAGGACAAAATTTAGAATCCAGCATGGCAAAAGAGAAGCAAACATGGAGGACACAATGCTGCCTCTACCACCACAAAACAAACCAACCAACCCAAAACAGGCTGTCTGCAAAAGAAACATACTTTGCTCACTAACAGAAGAGAAAGTACTTGAACTTATTATCTTATACACTACCCCAAACGCACAAAATGAATAAATTAAAACATACAAAATCTAGAGAAGTTACAATAAGAAAACAAAGAAAATGAGAACCAAAACAACTCAGCTGATTAACCCCACCTCTCACCAAAAAAAAAAAAAACCAAGCATGAAGCAAAAAACTGTAACTCAAAAATGAATTAAATATCCTCATACATATGAAACACCATCCTGAATCAGAAATTCAGAAATTAAAAATAGAAATGAACCAAAAAGACAAAACACAAGAAGAAATGTTCATTCCAGAGAGTTGAATGAACTCAGGAAAGATAGGGAAATGAAAACTAACTTACAAGATGCCTAAGGAAGAAAAAGTACAAATGGAAGTTTACAAAGGGGACTGAACAAAGGCAGGAAGACAATAAAGAATATAAAGTGATACAAAGAAATAAGTAAAAAGGGCCAGAGAGGAGGTGGTTGAAATGGAAGAGAGGAGGTAATTGAAATGGAAGACAGGAAATGAAGAAAAAACATATTTATAGTTGGAGACCCTAAAAAAGAAAAACAAAACAATAGAACACAACTAATATTTAAAACTATAATGCAAGAAAACTTAAAAAATAAGGCAAGACCAGCATTTACAGACTGACAGAGCCTTGCAGGTATATGGGATAATTAGTCTGTAACGATCAACTTGAAGACACATCCTAAACTTTAAATATAAAGAAAAAATTCTGAAGGCCTCCAACTAAAAAGATCAAATAACTTGTAAGAGCAAGAGAATTACACTGGGAATAGACTTACCAAAAATAACAAATAAAGCAAGATAACAATAAAATAGCATTTTCAAAAAATTCAGGGACAGAAAGTATGAAATAAGGATTTTATATGTAGCCAAGATATCCCTTCATATACCAAGGCTATAGACAGAACTCAGGGAATTCTGTATCTATGAATGCTTCACGAGTAATCTACTAGGGACAGAGATTCATCCAACCAACAGATAAGTGGGGAAACTTCAGCAAAATACTTGATACAATCATTTAATATATTTAATAGTAGATCTAAGCCAAAAACAAAGGTGGGGACTAGGGTAAAGAATAATATGTAAAATTACATGTTCTGCCAAAATAGAAATAAAAGTCTAAAACCCAGGCGTAGAAGGGAGAAGAAAATAGAGATTAGAATAAGTCATTGATAGTTGTGTCACAGCAGGTGAGAATTAAACAATATTATTCATTTAAAAATGATTAGAGAATAACTGCTTAAATAAAACAAGTAAATTATGGGGCCGGCCCAGTGGCACAGTGGTTAAGTGTGCATGTTCCGCTTCGGCAGCCCGGGGTTCACCAGTTCGGATCCTGGCTGCGGACATGGCACCGCTTGGCACGCCATGCTGTGTGGTAGGCGTCCCACATATAAAGTAGAGGAAGATGGGCATGGACGTTAGCTCAGGGCCAGTCTTCCTCAGCAAAAAAGAGGAGGATTAGCAGCAGTTAGCTCAGGGCTAATCTTCCTCAACAACAAAAAAAAGTGAATTAAAGGCATTTTAAAAATCATATACAAAAATTAATAACCAAGAGAACAAGAACAAAACCCTTCCTACATATCAAAAGAAATTTAAAAAAATAAAAGAGGGGGAAAAAAAACCATGTAGTAAACACATCAAATTTAACATAACACATAATAACATAAAATTATAAGAAAGAGCTTAGACTGAATCTGTCAGTTATTTCAATAAATATGAATAGATTTAAGTCACCTATTAAGGAAAAAAATTTTCATTTGGTTCACAAAGCAAGACCCAACTACACTGCACAGAAAACAGACATCTAAAACAAAAGGATCCAGAAAGGCTAAAAATAAAGAAATGAGCAAAAGTATTCTAGACAAATGGAAACAATAAGAAAACAGAGGCTGTAATATTATTATTTAAGTAGAATTTAAACAAAAAGCATTGAATGTGACAAAGGACACTTTAATACTAAAAGCCACAATTCACAATGAATACTAGGAGATTCTAACACAGCATTTTCTGTGTAAGACAGATGAAGTGTACAAGAAAAATTAAGGATACAGAAGACAAACAACATAATCAGTAAGGGAGAGATTATGGATATCTATTGTAATTTTACATTCTGAACAGAGAATACACCTTCTTATCAAATGCACATGGTATATTCACAAAAACTGATTACATATTAAGTAAGAAAGAAAACAAGAGTAAATTTTATCAAATAGAAACATTACAAATACTCTTTGATCATGATACAATAAAACTAGAAATTAATAAAAATTAAAAAACAAAAAAGCTTTTTCTGAAAACTAAAAATTTTTCCCAAATAGAGTAAAAAAGAAATATAAACTGAAATTACATATTTTCTAAAAAATAAAAACTTTACACATTAGAGTAAATGAAATACACATCTGAAGTACTGAACAGAGAAAAATCCATTGCCTTAGAAACCTGTATCAATAAAAATAAATTAAATAAATGACTTACTCAAAAACTAGAAAAATAAGAAAGTAAACCACAAGAAGGCACAAGGAAATAAATAATAAAGGTAAAAGCAGAAATCAGTGGAGAATAGAAAAAAAAAAGTAGGTATAATAAATCAAAATCCTGTTATTTTGGAAAAAAGTAACAAAATAGACAAATGACTAGCTAACAAAGAAAAAGGAAAAAGCACAAATCTATAAAATAAGAGATGATAAAAGGGAAATAACCAATGAAACAGATAACTTCTAAACATCATATAAGACTGCTTTCCAGAACTCTGTACAACTAGAGGTCTTGAAAGTTAGATGAAATGGATAATTTCATAAGAAAAACTATTTACCCAAAAGTGAACCCATTAGATAGAAAGCTTAAAAGATTAATTTCCTCAGAAGGAAAAAAGAGGAACTTATCAAGCAATTATGCCACAAAAAAGTACCAATCCCAGATGGTTTCACAGGGAAATTCTACCAAATCTTCAAAGAGTAGAGAATCACAATGCTATAAACTGTTCCTGATTTTTTCGGGGAAATAAAATACACATATGAATAGTAAGTGTATTCAACAGTAGGGTTGCTGTTCTGGGGCCACCAATCCAAACCTCTTACATCATAAACTTTGTTCAATATCAATCAGTCTCCCAACTTGCAAGAGCCACCTCAAAATCACCAGCCTAGGCCTTAAAATCCTATAAATATCCTCTCCTGACTTCCCCCTTCTGAGAAATTACTAAGACCTCCTCAAGTTGGCTTTTTCCCGCCTGTAAAATAAGCTAATAAAGTTAGCCCTGCTTGATCAACAGGTTTTTCTGGCAGTTTTTTGTGGAGTGGACAGAGGAGAGAAGGAAAATTCAACATCAGTTAGGATTGGAGAGTGTCTTAGAGAAGAACAAACAGAAATATAAGAAGTAAACAGCAGTTTTGGGGGAAATTGAGAAATTTAGTTTTATCATACTAGAGACAAGACCAATTCTGGAGAGCATTTGGGAGTTACACCCAAAGAAACGATGGCTGTGAGTCAGAGGAATGGTAGAAAAAACTATACAGAGAAAACTATAATCTATACCAATCCTACAAATAAGGGATAGAAATGATTTTAGTAACTCACTTACTACGCAGAAATTGAGAGACTAAAAGACTATATGAAAGTCACCTTAAAGTACTGCTTAGCAGAACACGTCATTCTTGGGTAAAAGCCAACATAGTGGGTCTAAGAAGTGAGTGAGAGCAGCATACAGAGATTAAACAGTTATTCAAATGGCAGAGTTAAAAGTAGGAAGTTAAAAAAACACCAGCATCATAAAAAGGGAAACTACTACTCTGGCCTCCACTCCTCAATTCACCAACTCAGGAGGTAATGCTTATCAAATCCCCTTCAGGTAATTCATTTAGAACTGTTCTTATCCTATTAGATCAGTTATTTTACAACTGGCTTCCTCCAAGATTGAATGACACACTTCTTAGCAAATGTCAGAGTGATGGGATCACTTTGTCCAGAAGAAAATACCACAACTATCCAGTTTTTAAAAATCCACGTGCCCAGAAAATCAAACCCAATTAAAATCCTGAAGATATCTGGATTTTGAGAATTCAGTAGATTCCACTTAGAAACAATTAGTCTTCATCTTCACAATACCAGATAACATTAGAACAGGGCATATTTTTAAGATAAACAACAGAAACACATTTTAAAACTGTTCCCACCTTTCCCAACCCAACCCCAATAAGTACGTATCAGCATATTCTAGAAAGCAAAGCTTCTTCATGCAAGTGTCCACCAGAAATAAACACCACCACCTGTTCCTAAAATAGGCAGTGCTGGAACAGAAGTACAGTGAGAAAGCTGTAGAGGAGACTAACACATTGTGCAGGGGTGCTCTACAACTACTGGCATGCAGTGACCGTCAAGCAGGTGAACAGAATCACAGGCAGAGGCTACCAGCTAGAACCCTTAAAGGGGCTGAATCCTCCAAGCAGAAAGCCCAACTTCCTGGCTCCTCTCAATAAGAGTTCTCAGTGAGAAAGAATTCTACCACCCAAAGGACTAAGGTTTGTAACAAAGGAAACGCTCAGGAACAAAACAGCAATTACAAATGCTAAGTTCTTCCAAAAACGAAAAATCTATGTCCACTTGAGAGAATAATTTAAGTATGCTCCCTAGTTAGACTATTTCATTAAGATTAGTTTGTTCCATTGCATAATTTCACATTTAACTACTAATCATATGATACAGTATGTTTTACTATTTATAACTCAAAAATAGGGCACCTCCAAAATAGAGTTATTTTATCCCACACTGAAGAGAGGGCTTTGGCTCTAATTATGTATATTAATGGATATAGATTATTTCCAACTTCTACAATCCTATAGTTTGGCTCAGAGTAATGACTCGATTGTCTAATTAGAGAACTGGTCATGCACATGCTTCTGTTTTGGTTGTTGTTTTTGTTTTTTATTTTTTAGAATATCAATATAATCATTTAAAAACTGGGTCTATCTCCAATAAAAAATAAAGACAATAAAGGTATTCTGGAAATTAGCGGAAATTTTAATTTTAACTAGGTCTGTGGTACAATCAAACAGTTTAAAACAATTCAAGGGCCGGCCCCAAGGCCAAGTGGTTAAGTTCAGGTGCTCTGCTTTGGTGGCCCCGGGTTCGGATTCTGAGTGCGGACATGGCACTCCTCGTTAGGCCATGTTGAGGTGGTGTCCCACATGCCACAACTAGAGGGACCCATAACTAAAATGTACAACTGTGTCCTGGGGGGATTTGGGGAGAGAAAAGCAGGGGAAAAAAAAACGATTGGCAATATTTGTTAGCTCAGGTGCCAATCTTTAACAAAAAAATAAAACAATTCAAAGAGAAAATACTTAGAGTCAAAAGAAGACTATCCCAAAATCTTCCTTCCATAATGAACAGATGTTAAAGAATATTAGAGATCCAACTTAATTAAGGATATGCAAGGAAATAAAATGCATTCATTCCACTTCATCAGTGATAATCTTTTAGACATATTGGACATACAGGGTCCTTACATCATATATTTCCCAGGAGAATTCCAAAATCAAATACTTTATATCCATAAACACATTCATACTTGTCAAACTATATATACCTAATTTTGGTTGCTATATGATGATAAAATTATATTCTTAGTCAAAATAGTGCAGCTTTATTCAAACATGACTCCAATGTCATATTTGTGACTAAAACAAATTCACATTACATATAACCTTCTACTTGGCTGCGTTGGTACAGAGAGATATTTTTGGCATTGCTCATTAAATGTTTAAAAATTCATGATTATTTTCTATTACTAAAAAATGGGGGAGGGGAAGGCAGTTTAAAGGGAAAAGAAAGAAAGAAAGAAAAGAGAATACCATTTCAGTTAAAAGCTACTGGATTATTTAAAATATACCCTATTCACTAGATCAGGGAGGGATCAGCAAACTATGGCCAGCAGACCAAATACAGCCGATTGTCTGTTTTTGTAAATAGCTTTATTGGAACACAGCCATGCCCATTATGTTTACTTACTGTCTATGGCTGTTTTCACTTTACAGGAGCAAAGTTAAGGAGCTGCAACAGAGACTGTATAACCCACATAAAAAAAATTGAGGATCCCTGTTTGAGACTTTTTAAGATATAACAGAAAATTTCTACATTAGCAATAAGTTAAATAACCTGAATTTTGCCTAATTTATGATTTGACATACACTAAGTGCCCTTTATCTGAGTCCTATTAAATTAAGGTTTAGCTTTAGTTGCTGTGTTCACTGAGGTTTCCCATGTATAAACCAGTATATGGGGAAGAAGCTGTGAAGGTTAGCTTTAGATTAGCAAAAACTATTCCCATCAGATTTGCTTGTTGCCTATTTTTCTTATATTGTTGTAAAATTACCATTTCGGAGTCACTGTGAGAGGCCTGACCCAGGCTGGGTGTAGGCCCTAGCTCAGAGTGAGAAGCTTGGTCAAGGGAGAGAAGGGGCTCAATAATGTCATCGTAATCATCTTCCTCTGTATCCCCCTCCCCATCGGCAAAAGTACCTCTAGTCAAGAAATCGGAGCGCGTCCGCGCCATTCGAGCTTTCTTTTTATGGGCCGGTCTGGCAACCTGCTTGACCAAATGATAAAACAAATAACACAACAATGTTTTGTTTTGGTTTTTTTTGGAGATGATGCCAATGAAAGACATCAGAGAGCTCAAGAATTTCTTGAAACATCCCTCCACCCCACGGTGCCCCTTCCACTAAAAGTGACAGGAATAACCAAAAGCAATCCGTAATATATTACTCTGGACAAAGGATAAGAATGGAAGCTAAATCTACAGTGTTCTTCTCCATAGCCAAGGAAGTCATCTTTCACTGCCATAAGTCACCAAAGTCACTTGCACAAATTGCCTTCTTAGCAACTTTTTTAAAATAAATATAATCTGGGTTTTTTAAGCACCATTGCCTGCCTGAAGTAGACCTCTCTAGGTATAACAGACTTAACTCATGGTTCTTTTCTCTATAAATACTTGGGAGTAAATGGGTAGATGAGGTGCTCTGCCTACAAGAATAATAATTTCCAAAATAGCGTGCGTCCATTTTGCATAGAAGATAAACAAAATTCAACACTTACCTCTCTTTGGCCCGGCCCAGTTAACTTCACAGGTTTCCAAGCTGGTTCATCTTGTTTATGGAGTTGAGGATTTCCACTGTTTAAGGCTTCCTTGTCGACACTTATGATAAAACAATAGGATTACATTTCAATTCCCAGCAGACAGCTCATGGCAGCATTCTTAAAGAATAGCTTAAAATATAGTGTAAAAAACCAGGTCAAAGATTCCAGCAAATCCCATAAATACTTTCAGATCTTATTCAATTCACAAAACAATACATCAAATTTTTTCTGCTTACCAAATTAACAATATTATCAGAAATTTACATATATGACTGAATTACTAGAGGCGCTGCCCTGATAATCACTCGGTATATTCTACTGTGATTATATGTTTAACAGGATCAGCATATATTTAATAGTTATAAACTATTATATAGCTAAAATATTATATAATATTTTTAATATTATATAGTTATAGCATATGTTTAATAGTATACACATGTTTAATAGTATCAGCAGAATTAGCTCAAGAAATGAAATGGATTTGATGACAAGAAAGGGAAAATACCAAATCTCCAAATTTTTAGAATCAGTCTTAGAAGGGGTCTTTTACTCTAATCATTATAAAACACCTGATAAGTAGCCACCAAGTGATGAGGACCTCAATACTTTGTTTTATACTGAGACGGTTCCTATTGGTTAGCAAATTCCTTTCTGAAATCTTTATAGCTTCTATCTACTGTCTTAGTTTTAAAACTTGAAGTTGGACATAATAAAATCAATAATAGCAGGATAAGAAATTGTTATCAAGCTAAAAGAAGTATGCCCCAAACCATACAGATGGTATAGTGTTAGCTTGTGAAAATTTAGTTTCGCATGAATAACCACATGATGTGACTGCTTTATCATTAAATTTTGGTAGAAATGGATGCCAGCACCTCATGAAAATATGAAGAGAATCTGCACTTTCCTGGGCCCAATTACCTGTATTAACTCAGCACTATCAGTCTTAAAATTTATCAACAACATATTGCTAATCTCTCCTTAGCAGGACTGTAAGCTCATTGAGAATCACATCTTACCTTCTACTACAGTGCTGGGTTTAAAGTAGACATTAACCTGTAATATAAATTGGCAGACTAATTGATCTCCCATTCAAAATCTTTCATTTAATTTTTATAAATGAAGGCCTAGGGGCCATAAGAGGTTATCTTATCCTCTGCTCTATGAAATAATCCCTAAACAAATCTAAATAGATGGCAATCTTTCCTAGCTAAAGGCTTCTCAGAGATCTCCCTTTTTGACCAGTGTATGATCAAGCCTAGCAATCCTGAGTTGGCTTAAAAGATTCCCTTTTGGCTATTAAAATCTCTCTTGCCACAGTTGAGCCTACTGGTCTTTGATCTGTTCTCCAAAGAGAGAAACAATTAACAAAACCTTTGACTTGACCATCCTAACTTTTAAACTCGCAACATTTTCTCGATTTCTCCATGATTTCTTTTTTGTTCTCCCTCATTAACCAGATGAATACCACTAGGTACTTATAACCACTATGGCATAAAAAAATCCATTAATCTAATGTTACTTCTTAATCATGAAACCGAATGCTGATTCCTAATTATGAAACGCAAGTTCTAGTCCCATCTCTTTCTCTAAATACGTGAACCTGAACAAGCCATTTCACCTCTCTGGGCCCCACTGACCTCATCTATATGTGGCAACTGGACTAGATAATTTAGAAACACCAACATTTATGATTCTATAAAATGCTAAGGTTTCTAGTATTACTTATAGAACAAGAGAAGATTTGAAGTATGAATTTTACCTAAGCTTTCACATAAGCATTCTAATATATAATCGTTTGGAAGTAGATTTTAACGAGGTAAAGCAAACTAGATCAAGTAGACTTAAGATTAACTCAGAAAAATGATAAAAGGAATAATTTACAAGAATGATTAATGTTTTTGAAATCTACAAGGAAGCCTTCTACAAAACAGATTCATGGATCCAATAACTGCACACACACACACACACACACACACAAATACATGTCTCATATCACTAAACTTAATCAGAATGATACGCAATAACATGTTTTTAACACTCTCCGATGGGCTTATATGCTACATAGAGTCTTTGAACTTTTGGGCAATCTATAAGTTAATGGGCAGGAATAGAACCTCAAATTGTCACTAAGTCCAACTGCGTTTCATAATGCTGTACAGAAATCCTTAGTAGAAAAATAAAGTATCAATGATCTCTTGCCCATGTTTCTATAAAATCTGCATGCAATTTTAAAGAATGAAAGATTTAAAAGCTCAGGTTATAATAAGAAAGTTATTTTTCTAGTTAATGCGAAATTTAGTTTTTTTAGCCCTAAGGTACAGCCCTCATTTAATTTAAACCGTGATATTTTCCCATAAGAACTGAAAGAATCCACTGTATACAAAGACTTCATACAAATATCTCAAATTTTATCAAATTGATTTTATGTACCACTTAAAAATGCTGTTCTCACAGCTACCACTAGTTAAGAAAACTTAAAAGTATAAAGAATTTCCACTTATATGAGGCACCTCAGGGAGTCAAACTCTTAGAAACAGAAAGTAGAACTGGTGGTTGCAAGGGACTTGGGGAAAGTGAAAGAGGGGAGTTGTTGTCCAATGAGTGATAGAGTTTGTTTTGCAAGATGAAAAAGTTCTAGAGATCTGTTGCAAACAACGTGCACATAGTTAACTACTGTATTGTATACTTAAAAAACGGTTAAAATGGTAAATTTTATGTTATGTGTTTTTTTACCACAAAAAAGGTATAAAGAACTTATTAATGAAGACCATAAATAGGCCAATAGATGTGACAAAGCATATTAACTTTAAAGCCTGACACTAGCTTAGATTGCTACACCTAACAGCTCTTGTGCAACTAGCATTTGCTGAATGCTTACCATGTTTAATAGGGACTGTATCACCCTGCACAAATGTTTTCTCACTTAATGGGGAGGAACCAAAAACTCTGCTATCTGTGATTGGTCACAGATTCCTAGAGTATAATTATATCCAATTTCATGTGGCTGGTGGAGTCAACAATTAGAGAATGTTTTTTACATAGAGAAAATGGCTAATTTGAGTAGCACCCATACAAACAGTTGAGGCAGATTAAGTCACCTCAATGAAATTCTCCAAAAAGTTTCTCATTTATACACAAAAATAAATAAACATTTCACTTACAGGGAAATACTCATATTGTCCTTTGGCGTGAAGAATATGGCCCTAGTAGCTCCATCTCCAGAAGGGTCATCAGATTTGTGGCTATAATACTGAGTAGGCCTAAGGTGTTCTCTTTTTGAGATGCGATTATTAGAGAGTTTACAGGCTATATTTTGCTGGGTGGACATTCTGTCTGTCTTGGATAACTCCTTGACAGTACTAGACTGGCATGGGCCTCCTTTTCTTTCAAAGAACAGGGTGACATGTGGGTCCTTCAGGGGTAAGTGAGCAGAGGGACTGTCTTTTGGGGCAAGAGCTGCATCTTTCACAGATACTGATAGAGGCCCTAGTACACTGGGTTCTTCCTTATTTGGGGTATTCAGGATGAGGAGAGAGGATGGCCTCTCTATTCTTCGCTTTGATTGATGGAAAGATGGTGCCAGAGAACACTCTCCAATTCTTGGCTTTTCAATTGTCTTGAAGGCTTTACGCTCCTTCTCTAAAATATCTGTTTGCTGGCGAATCTGTTCCATCATTTCTTTTTCATTCTGCTGCTGCAACTGCTTTTGCCTTTCTTCCTTCTCTGTGTTTAGCTTTTCTAACTTCTTAAGCACAGTATTAGAAGAATCTGTATTCAAATAAGCAACAACTTGGTTTGCTTCTGAGAAGTGGTACTTTCTGGCTTCCCTACTGATATCCAAAGTAAGAGCTGGAAGTGTTTCTTCACTTTCCAATAGTTTGTTTCTCTGGATACTTGTGTCTAGTTGGGAAATTGTTTTCAGTGGGTCTTGTGGGGGAATATAAAAAAATGTAGGCAGACTATTTGAAATAAAGGAGTCTCTCAGTTGCGGCTTACAGGTAATAGGTTCAGAACCGCAACCTAGTTTTTCCTTGACTGTCCCATTCTTCAAATGCACTGAGTCAGAGGGTGCCCCCTTTTGAATCAACGTATAGTTAGTCTCACTTGAGGCACTGAGGGCATTGTCTTGTGATTCAAATTTTGGACTGCTAGATCTTTTAGGTGATGGAATCTGAAAATCTCCTTCATCTAAAATTATGGGCTCTAGTTTGCTCTTTTGGCTTTCTTCACAGCTCAGAAGTTCCAAGCTTCCTTGAGAGCTTCCACTATCAGGTGTACCCTGTAGAGACTGAAAGCCCTCAGGCATCAGTTCTGTAGACCATCTTCGTTCCTCTGAAGGAGACATACCACCAAGAGAACGTACTTTCAGTAATTCTAAACTAAATATAGCTTGCTCGAGTTCTCTCATTCTCCGACTTTCTCTTTTAGCTCGACCTACTTTTTTCTGGTGGAGATCTTCCAAGGACTTGGGTCTCTCTCTTACAATCACATCTTCCTGCAAGTCCACACCACTTTGGCTTCTGGCTCTCTCCTGTCGCTTGTTTGGGGACTCCTTCAAGTAGTCCATTGAACTTTCATGGCTAATTCGATTACTCTCTATCACAGATTTACCTTCCTCTATGGCTTTTACTCTGTTGTCAAAGGAACGATCTTCCCATTCTGAAGGGTCTGAACCCTGAATTTCCAGAGCTCCATATGGCTCAATACTTGATGATCCAAGTTCTAGTCTTGTTTCTTTTAGTCTTCGTTCTCTTAAAGCTTTAAATCTATATAAAACAGAAAAAATGGGTTAGAGATATCTCTTGGTTACCACTGGAGAGAAAACATTTACAGAGAATTTAAGAAAAAAATGGAAAGTCTCAAAATTTTTTTTTCATACCTAAGTATTTCTGAAAGTAACTCAGGTAGACACTTCACAGGTCTATTTCCATGAGTGAGATGATATTTTATTAAGTATATTATTCCTAATTGGGCATTCTAGTCAAAACACAAATTAACTCAAAAGTAAAGCTCTCATTTTAATAATATCCTTCTCTTAAGGTAAACCTTAAAAATGAAATGAAAGTTTCTGAAGGTAAAAACAGTTAATATTGTCAATTTTTAAAGATTCAACCTAAAGGGAAAAGTTAACTCTTAGCAGTTATAACCACAGACCATGCAAGTTTTCCAATCCAATTTAATTTAATAAATACTTATTTACCTTCTATTATAGACCACACGATGTGGGTTAAAATTGCTAGGAGTATCACAGTCTAGTGGAGAATGCAAATTGTACATAACCAATTCGAATACAAGTTAGGCAAGTATTAGAGCAGAGGTATAAACAAAGTACTTGGAAAGAGAGAGGGTAATTATTATAGAAACAAAGATTACCTTTGTCTTGCTCTGAATCCTCTACATATTGACTGCAAAAGGATAATTTTGTTTCTTTGTTCTTGATACCTCTTACTTTCCCTGTAGCCTTTCCATCTTGCCTGTATGCAGATGGCAGCCATGTGCCTCCGCCTATAGAGCTCCCTCCATCTCTGCTGGATGATGACAGCTGCAGTCCGTAGCTCCAAATACCGCTGCCTCTCTAAGTGAGCACGCCAGGAAGCTTGGATAAGAGTGGCTGCACTAGCCATAACTACAGCATCCTTCTGTACAGCTGCATCTCTGACTTGCTTCTGATTTAGGTAATTTCTCCAGAATCGCTGTGGGGAAGACAAAATAATAGAAAGTGTTGTCATATCTTATACCACATTTTCACAGAAAAAGAAAACAAGGATAAATTTCTAATGTCATAATTAGAGGTTAAGTAGCTAGACAGCTAAATTGTGGGTGATTAAAGTAAAAGAAAATGTTTTCTTTCCCAGATATGCTTGCCTAAAACAACTATTTTAGGTAATATATAATCTTGATGAAGTTAATTATAGAACTTAAAATAATTTTGAATTGTTGATGCTTTCATGCTCCACAAATTAATTTTAACAAATTACATTATATTCTCATGCTACAATTTGCCAATATTAATGGGTTTAAGGTCAATATGCACACATCTCAAAGATTAAGATATGAAAGATTTTCTTATACAAAAGAGAAAAAGTCCTATAGAAAACAACATCATCCAAGGTGAGTACATAACAACAACAATGTATGTATAACTCTCAAATATCACTCAGAACACTATTAAATAAAAATAACTACGTCAACAAAAATTAAGGCACATAATTCCTTTGTCCTTAATTATATCATACAAGACATTATAACTATAAATTCAATTTAATTTAAATTCAACTCCATCAATATTTATCAATAGCCTATTATTATATGCCAGATAATCTGTTGAGCGCTATGAACATTTCAAAGATGAGTTGGACACATTCTTATCTCTGAAAAAGTTTACATTCTTATTTTTATTATTATTTTTTTTTTGAGGAAGATTAGCCCTGAGCTAACTGCTGCGAATCTTCCTCTTTTCACTGAGGAAGACTGGTCCTGAGCTAACATCCACGCCCATCTTCCTCTACTTTATATGTGGGATGCCTACCACAGCATGGCATGCCACGCCATACCATGTCTGCACCCAGGATCCAAACCAGCGAACCCAGGGCCGCCAAAGCAGAACATAGGCACTTAACCGCTGCGCCACCAGGCTGGCCCCCACATTCTTCTTTAAATGTTTAAATCTTTAAACGTTTCTTTAAAATAGCTCTAGTTACTAAAACAAAGGCCAAATAAACCAGCCAGTCTCATGCAAGGAATCCTTTGCTTCCCACCTGGATAATAATGGAGGCCTGTCTCAGATGGAGAAAACGCTGCCTACACAGCAAGGCCCTGAACCATCGCTGTAACACTATGATTCTACGGAGCACCTCTTGGTGAAGCAGATCTTGCAGGTGCTGTCGTTCCTGCTCCTTTAGGAACACCTACCACAAGGGAGAAAGAAAAGGAACACAGCTTAAGAAGAAATTAGAAATTTATTTCATGAATCATCCTTTCTGTGGTAAGCTTTTTTAGAGAAGAATAAATTCAGTGGCAGATGTGTAAAAGTAGTACTTGTAAATATTTCTATCAATTTATCCAAAGTGGTCATTCTCAAATTGGAAAGGAGACATTAGAATACAGAAGGGGAAATGGAAAGGTGAACATGAGTACAAAAATCCCAGGGCCAGAGGCTGTGATACATTATTCGCTTAGGAAATTCACCACCATCATGAGCCAACGTATTACTGGTAATATATCATCTTTTTCAAGATGCTAGGAAAGCAGGAAAAGTTGAGAACCATAGTTTTAGAAGTTTGGTCATAACATGAATAAACCAATAACAGTCTTTTTGAAAGCCAGTATGCATCAAAGGCTTCTTGCTGCCCAAAACTATTAATTAGTTTATTTATTTATTCCTTCATTCCATTAATAAATCTTTAGGGATTTAGGGGGTACAAAGATAACTTAGACATAGTTCCTTTGGAAATAGAATTTGTGCTTCACCTTTAAGAGCAGGTAGATATTAAAAATTGTACATATTTAAGATGTACAATGTGACGTTTTCATTTATGTATACATTGTGAAATGATTACCACAATCTACCTAATTAACATATCCATCATCTCCCATTTTTGTCAAAAATAAAAAAATATTTAAAAAAAAGAGCAGATAGACATTAAATACCCGAAGAGGAAAACAGTAAACTAATAAGGGAATGAGACAGAGGACCACACCTGAGCAAAACAAGGAGTTGGAAATAATGATAAAGGCACATATAGGGGACAATGGAACAATTAATTCTCATAAAGAAGATATTAAACAATATGAAGTCACAATATGTAGGTTCTTGAAAAAGAGAAAGATGTTTGAATTTAATGAGAAGGTTATCTGGGGTTAGGGTTAGGCCCAGGAAGCTGATATAAAGAAAGAAGTACACTAAAATGATGATCTTGATACTATGGGTCGAGGGAGTTAAATGGAACGACAAATAGACTGGAATCAGATGAGGGATCTGTTTGCTGTAAGAAAAATATAAGTGACAGCTAAGGAATAGAACTAAAATGGAAGCAGTAGGAATGGAGAAACAGGGAAAGATGTGAGAATCATTCGTAAGGAAAAAGAAGAAACAGAACTTTGTAAAAGGATGAAAGTGAAGGGTAAGCCAAATATGATTACGGTTTCTAGCCTAAGAAACTAGAAGGAAGGTGGCAGAGAAAGACAGTATGAAGATGATCAATTAAGGACAGCAGGGGAATCTGAATAAGGTCACTTTGGGCAAGTTGAGTTGGAGAGAACAGTAGAATACCTAGGGAGAGAAGGTTTTTAGGTAGTTAAAATTATAAGCAGAACCAGAGCACTGGCCTGAAGTTCTTTGATTAATACTGACTGTATTATTAAGTAAAAATCTTGGCCTGATCAATTTCCTTATGATATTTTTAAAAAAACATTCTCATAGGCAAAGATTGCCAATATTATTTATAAAAATGCACTCAATTTTGACAAGAGCAGTATATATTATATTTACCATGGATTTTCCAACTTGATAATTATCTGGATTAAGATTTATTTTCCTGAAGAAATCCTGAATGTTAAATTTGGACGGAATAATATTTCGGGGAAGAAGTACATGGAAGTGGCTCACAAAATCCTGAAAAATGAAAAGAAAATGTTGTAAAGTCACAAGAGAATTATATGTAAACAACATCTTCAACTAATTGTCCTTTTATTGATCCTTTTCTCATTCTTTTAAACAGGGTGAAACCAAGAATTTGCCTGTTAATTTAAAATATCACAAAAAGTTAATTTGTAAAATGTGGGGGGGGGACAGTTCTACATATTTTGTTATCAAAGGGGAATGGAAGAAGAATAGAAGGGCAGAAACTAATTCTCTCTTTTGAGAAAGCTGTATTAAAGACCAAAGAAAAAGTTATTTAACAAGCATCTGAAATTTTTAGCAGAAAAATAAGCAAAGGTGGCAGCTATTACAAGGTACAAGTGAGAATGAAGCTTTCTCTCCCAGTAACAGCAAAGATTTGCTCAGCTGCTGAAAAGCTTCAATACAATTTCTACACCCATAGCAGCAGTAGCTGTTAAGAATAGCTGTAAGCCTTGCTGGCAGCTTCCTATAAAAGACAATCCTGCTGAGAAAACTTCAGAGAAAAGCAAATGGAATCTTTTCAGATAGTTCTGATTGAACTATTTCAACTACTGGAGCAATCAGTGTGAAGAATTGCTATGTTATGAGTAAACTTAGTATTAGCAAACATTCAGATCAAATGAGAATAGTCACATGTTGGATTCAATTACAACGCAAGCTTATTGAGATTGTTGCCATTCAATGGAACTGAGTACTCTCTCTCCCTCTTCAATTCTACATACAAATGATGGAATGAAAAGGAAGAATTAAGAGGAATAAACAAGTAAGCCTGAAATTAACAAAAAGCAAGACAAAGGAATAATTCACTTGATGTGCATATATATTTAAATATCACTATAAAAGCATAACCTGGAAAGAATATTTGCAGCTGTATCCTGACTGGCGAATCCGAACTGTCTCCAGCATCCCAGTGTACCGAAGCTGTCTAAGTACCAAGGCATCATTGAACCTTAACGGCAGCTAAAACAAGGCAAATGGAACAAATATTAACCCAGAAGAACAGATCTCCAAATTAATGTCTGTCTTATAAGTATGGTTAACTTCTGAAGATCTAGAAATTGACTAGAGGTTGTCTGGTTAAGATATAGCAGAGGTGATGGGACAATCTTACCTCCCCAGCTGATAGCTTCAGAAAAGTTCTGACTGCCTGACTCTAGGGAAAAAAGAGAAACCAAGCTTCCAGGTTTCTCTAGTTGTAGAGGGAGAGGACCTTCAAAGGAGGCCACATTGTCTAGTCACTATAAAATCTGTAACAAGACTAACCTACTTAACATAATCAAGAGTGTCTGTATTTTTGTTAATGATACTAGTATGACACATTGAAAAACAAAAAATTCCATTAGTCCTTAAGAATTGATCTCCTTATTGTACAGGCATAGACAGGGAAGATACTAATGGGAGGCACTCACTCATCACCAGTCATGACACCCTGTCACTCCTAGGTATCTCAGTAGGCATTTTTCTTTTTCTGCTTTTTCTCCCCAAATCCCCCCAGTACATAGTTGCATATTTTAGTTGTGGGTCCTTCTAGTTGTGGCATGTGGAACACCGCCTCAGCATGGCCTGACGAGTGGTCTGTGCCCAGGATTCGAACTGGTGAAACCCTGGGCTGCCAAAGCAGACATGCTAACCCAATCACTTGGCCACAGGGCCAGCCCCAGTAGGCATGTTTTTAGACATTCAAAAAAGGATGTATTTGGAGCTTCTTATATTTCTCCTTATTCTCTAAATACTATTTTCAATGTTCCCCGTCTACGGTAATCACAAACATTTTCCTGCAGAGAGATGGAAAATCCCAGCTGTCAAGGAAAAAAAGTCAAGTGGGAAACTTATGTTAAATAATCATAACAGTTAACATTTATTTTGTAATTATTCTGTGCCCTGAAATACTTCGTTAATTGAACTTTTTGCATAGCAAGATCTCAATTAATAATAGAGACTCAAACTTCCACTTAACTATAAATAGAATGGTTTCCTTTTTTTGTCACTATAAAAGAATAGCTAACATTTACTAAACACTTAGGACGGGCTAGGAACATTCTAAGTACTTTACAGGTATTGACTCAAAAAATCACAAAACACTATGAGGTTGGTCCTATAATTATAGTATATTCTTACCCAGATGAAAATATATAAGTCACAGAAAGGTTTAAGTAACTCATTTAAAGTCACAAAGCTTGTAAATAGAGTGGGAGACTGCTTCTTAAGAATTAAAAAAGCTGATGGGGCCGGCCCAGTGGCGCAGTGGTTAAGTTCGCACATTCCGCTTTGGTGGCCCTGGGTTCACCAGTTCGGATCCCGGGTGCAGACATGGCACCGCTTGGCAAGCCATGCTGTGGTAGGTGTCCCACATATAAAGTAGAGGAAGATGGGCACGGATGTTAGCTCAGGGCCAGTCTTCCTCAGCAAAAAAAGGAAGATTGGCAGCAGTTAGCTCAGGGTTAATCTTCCTCAAAAACAAAAAACAAAACAAAAAACAAACAAAAAAGAATTTAAAAAGCTGAGCATAATTCCTATAACATTTTAGCTGTTCTGGCTGGGAACTATGTTTTCCTATGATGAACATAAAGAAAGACGACAAATGTTGACACTTATTACATATATTTTGCAAAGCTCTAATTAGGAGAACTGTCATAGAAAAGAGGAAATAATCAAAAATGTCCCCAGTACCTTATTTTACAGAGACAAGAATCTCTAAACATGAAAAATGCCAAGCAGCTTCTTTAAGAGTGATAGCTTATATCCAAAGAAGAGAGATTAATCTCAGGGTAACAAAAGTTGCATAAAACACTTTTTTATGATGGAATTTCAAGAGCTATTTATTTCTCAAATTCTAGGAGATGCTAAATCAAGCTCATATAAATATCTTACAGCCGGGTAAGTGCAGAAATTAGAAGGATATCCATAAAAAATATAGAACATTGTTTTCCTTACAAAGATTATAGTTTTTCCCCTCCATTTAGTCTCTTTAGAAAGAATTTAAGGCTTGGTTTGAAGAAAGCTGAGCTAGAAGCTCTTATTTACAGGACAATTTTACCTTTTCAGCATTAGAGCGAATGCATTTTACAAAATAAGGTTCTGCTTGACCAAGTGTCTCCATCAGCTTGCTTAATGAGGCCTGCAATACAAAGCAATATAATTAGCATTTTCTCTCACTACAAACTGACAAAGAATGATTTACAAATATAAACAAGAGTGTTGGCAAAATATGCAAAAAACAAATGGTATTCATGGAAATAGGTTTGTTTCTGAAAAGAAAATTGTGTATATTCCCATACTGATTAAATTAAGGATAATTAAGGACAAGGAGGGTAATTTAATCTTAAGGCTGATAGCTTGGCAATAGTAAATATTGCAGATATATTTCAAAATAATCTAAGTCAAGAATAAATTTCTCACTTTTCTTCACATTTCATGAAGTAATTTTATTCAAACTCATGCATTCCTAGAGCAACTCTGAAAATCATCCAGCAGGGTATCCAGTAAGGTGGTGTTCCCCTGCTTTAATTTTAATGTTTGTAGAGTATGCAGTGATGTTGCCACTTTCTTTCCTAATAGTGATAGTTTGTACTTAATCTCTTTTTTCCTAATTAGTCTAGCTAGAGGTTTATAAAGTTTTTGATCTTTTCAAAGAACCAGTTTTTAAACATTTTAAACATTGATTTTTCTGTATTATTTTTCTGCTTTCAAATTCACTGCTTTCTGCTTTTATCTTTATCATTTCATTCCTTCCGCTTGCTTTGGGTTTAATATGTTTTTCTTTTCCTAGTTTCTTAAGGTAGAAGCATAGATTATTGATTTTTCTTCTTTTCTAATAAATGCATTTGACATTATAAATTAATCTTGGAGCACTGCTTTAGCTGTATTGCACACAGTTTGATATTTCATTTTCATTCCATTTAAAATATTTTCAAAATTTTCCTTCCTCTTTGACTCATGTATTATTTAGATGTCTGTTTTTTATTTGCCAAATATTTGGGGATGGTTATCTTTCATTGACTTCTGATTTAATCCCATTATGGTCAGAAAACATATTTTGGTTTTTAGTATTATATTTAATTTATCTATTGGCTTTCCAGCTATACTCTTTGTACTGTTTTTTACTGGCTGTTCTAGGGATTAGAATATACAAACCCACTTGTCACAGTCTACTTAGAGTCAATATTTTATAACAAAGTAAAACTTAGAAGCCTTACAACCATATAGACTCCTGCTACTGTTGTCATATATATTGCATCAACATACAAATTTTTTATTTTTAGGTGCTTTTCTCCTTGTAAATGTTATTGTAGTATGATATATATAATAAAATGCTTAAATCCTAAGTTTAGTTTGATGCATTTTCACAAAGGGAACACACTCTCATAACCAGAGCACAAATCAATAAAGAAAATATTACCAGAACTTCAGAAGCCCCTCTGTGCCCTGGTGCACTGAATTTAGCAAGGTCACTGTACATAAGCTACCTGCCCCGACCTCCACACGTCAACCAAGGGTAATCATTATCCTGACTTCTAAGACAGTAAGTTAGTTTTGCTGCTATTAAACTTCATATAACAAGAAAGACATACCATGTATCATTTTGTTGCATACACTTGCATTTTGTACATTTTCAGTGCTATAAAATATACCACAATTAAATTATCCATTTAGGATGGATATTTAGTTGTTCCAGTTTGGGCTATTACAAATAAAGTTGCTATCAATGTTCTTCTACGTGTCTTTTAACTGTTTTCCAAAATGCCTCCATTAATTTATATTTTAACAGCAGAGTATAAAAGTTCTGGTTGCTCCACATCCTGACCAACACTTTATATCACACAGTCTTTTATTTCAGCCAAGCTGGCAAGTGTGCATTATCGTTGTTATTATTATTATTATTATTATTATTATCATCTTGGTGAGAAAGATTGGCCCTGAGCTAGCATCTGTGCCAATCTTCTGCTATTTTATGTGGGAAGCCACCACAGCATGGCTTGACAAGCAGTGCTAGGTCCACACCTGGGATCCAAACCTGCAAACCCCAGGCCACCAAAGCAGAGCATGCAAACTTAACCACTAGGCTACCGGGTCAGCCCCAAGTGTGTAGTATTATTGCCTTACAGTTTTAATTTATATTTTCCTAATGAAGAATAATGTTGAGCAGGTATTTGATAGGCTTATTGGCCTTTTGGAGAACATCTTTTGATATCAGACAGTTTTGCGTATTCAAGACTTTTGCGCATTTCTATTAGGTTGTCTGTCTTTTTAAAAATTGATTTATGGTTCTTCATATATTCCACATACAAGGTCTTTTTCAGCTGTACTGCAAGTATATTCTCATACCCTGTAGGCTGCCTTTTCATTCTGTTAATAGTGACTTTTGTTTTTAGAAGTTTTACTGAAATACAATTTACATACTATAAAAACATGACCATTGTAGTATACAGATGATTTTTAGTAAATTTATACAATTGTGCAACCATCACTACAATCCAGATCTAGAAATCTTCTATCATTCCAAAGAGTTCCCTGCTGCCCATTTGTCATCAATAACTGCTTCTGCCCACAGCCCCAGGCAACCACCTATCTGCTTCCTGCTGCTATAAATAAACCATCTGTGAAAAAAGTAATCCTTTTTAGACATCTTTTCCTCTAATTATAAAACCAATATATAGATAGCTATTGTAGAAAACTTAATCCATAAATATATGTTCAGAGAATAAAAATCAGTTTGGTTTAGTTTGGGTAATGACTTAATCCTTAGTTTCAGAGGCAGAACTGAAAGAAGGTTATTCAGATTTTTGCAAAAAAAAAAAAAAAGACCCTTAGGCCAAGGAAGAGAAAAACTGCTCTAAGTATAGGACTATGTTGACTAATGATGTAGTGGCGGATATATTTCCCAGCAATCCATGGGTCTCTGAGCAGCTAGGCATGCATGCCTTGTCAGGCCAGGAGAGGGGCAGTGGTTTTATTAGCAGGTTTCAGCAGATATAATAGCAACAGAATGTGCATGACCTATTACCCTAGGAGAAAGCCACAAAACTCCTTTTAAGGAATTAATTGAGCAGAGACATGGTGCCTATGAAGTGACCAGGCTTTCACATAGGGGTCCATGCATAAACAATGCAGTTTTGCCTTATGATCAAGTTGCATCATTCTGCCCATAACTTAAGGCTTTAGGTACTTTATTTGACAGTTTGGTGGCCAAAAGGATAGATTCATACTAACATTTGCTTGCAGGAGACAAAATCTCAAAAGAGAATGATCCAGAGTAGGGTGAGGGTGGGAACTTACCTAACAGTTGAAATGATCAAGAAAAATATACATATGGTCTACCATCTTGCTATTTGCTTCTATTTATTTAATATGCTGTTTTATCATGTCTTTTTTAAATTCAGCATATTTTATGATTCCATTTTAGTTCTGCTATTTGCTCATTACCTATAATGAGCTTTTTTTTTTTGGAATTGCTCTAGGGTTCACAGTGTTAACATATCACAATCTACCTTCAAATAATGTCACACCATTTCCTGTATAATGTAAAAACTTTATTAATAGTGTATACTTACATGTTAGCCCCTCCTTTCTTTTATGCTACTTTTGTCATATGTTTTATTTCTACCTCATATTATTTTTGTTTTCTACAGTCAATTGTCTTTTTAAAAGATTAAAAGAAGAGAAAAAGTATTCTGTCATTCTGGCACTCTTCATATTTTGCAAAGATCTAAATTTCCATGTGGTTTTCTCATCATTTTTCTCCCACATTTAACATTCTGATATTGTACGAACTGCTGGCAATAAATTCTCTCAGTTTTTCCTTCTATTTAACCTTCATTTTTTTTCTTTTTGTTTTGGCTGAGGAAGATTCGCCCTGAGCTAAGATCCGTCACCAATCTTCCTCTCTCTCTCTTTTTTTTTTTCACTTGAGGAAGATTAGCCCTGAGCTAACATCTGTGCCAATCCTTCCCTATTTTTATGTGGGTTGCCACCACACCATGGCTGACGAGTGGTGTAGGTCTGTGCCCACGATCCAAACCTGGACACCTGGGCCACTGAAGTGTAGCACACTGAATTCAATCACTACGCCATGGGGCCAGCCCCTTTAACCTTCATTTTTACAAAATATATTCACTGTGCATAGAATTCTAGAGTAACAATTTTTTTCCTTTCAGTCTTTTGAAGATATTACTCTTGACTTCCGGCTTTCATAGTTTCTGATGAGAAACCTACTGTTATTCTTATCTTCATTTCTTTGCACATAATATCTTCTTTTTTCTCTGGGAGTATTTTAAGATTTTCTCTTTTTAACTGGTTTTAGCACTTTGATGTGATATGCCTTGGTGTGTTTCCGTTTGTTCTGCTTGAGGTTTGTTGAGATTCTTTGATATTTGGGCTTATATTATTCATAAAATTGGGGAAAATTTTGGTCATGATTTCTTCAAATGTTTTGCTGTACCCTCCTCTCTTACCTCTCCTTCTGAGATGCAATTACACCTCTATTCAACCACCTGATATTTTCCTACAAGTTATTAATGCTTTTTTTCATTTTTCTCCATCTTTGTTATTTCCCTCTGGGCTTTATTTTTAAGCAAATATAATTTCAAATTCATTACTTCTGCACTAATAGGTGTTAATCCCATCTACCTTATTTTCAAATATTACATTTTTAATCTCTAAAAGTTCCATTTGAATCTTTTTCATATCTTCTAATTTTTTCTCATCATATTCATGTTTTATGTTATATCCTTAGACATATTTATACAATCTGTAGTAGCTATTTTGAGATCCTTATCTACTATTTCCATCATCTCTGTCACGTTTAGGTCTGTTTCTAATGATTGTTTTTTCTCCCTTGTTATAAGTTTCATTTTCCTTGACTCTTTGCATGCCTAGTCATTTCATATCGGATGCTAGACATTGTGATTTTACACTGTTGGATTTTGTTACATTGCTTTAAAGAGTGACAGACATTTTTCCTGGCATGCTGTTATGTAGGATCACTTTGATTCTTTTAAGACTTCCTTTTAAGCTTTCTGAGGGCAAGTCTAGAGCAAAATCTCTGGCATTTGTTTGGCTCCCCTCTTCCTGAGCCATAGAAAACTGCCTTTATGCAGTAATCTGGGGCTTGCCTCATTTATTTCTCTTGTCTCAGGGATCACAGTCCTGCAATGCTTACTGTCTAATATCTAAAAACATTTGATTCTTATCTTTTGTCCAGTTTTCTAGTTGCTTAGAGCAGAAGGGCAATTCCTGTATCAGTTAACCCATCATGAGTTCGATGATCTCATTTTCATGAAAATAGACATTCATTCATAAGAAAGGCATGGAATCAAAGACACTTGGGTGCCATCCATCTCCACCACTTATAATTTCTTCACCTGTACAATAACAGTATTTATCTCATAGAATTGGATGAAAAATTAGATAATGCATATATATAAATATTTAGTAAAGGATTTGGAAAATATGGTACATTGGTCATCATCTCTGGATGGCAAATGATTTTCACTTGTTTTTGTTCACCTGTATTTTCTAAATAATCAAAACAACTCAATTACTTTTGTAATATTTAACATATTAGAAACACTAAAGATGGCCCTTTTTGCAAAAGTTACATACAACACATAAGTACAACTTGAGAATAAATTCTCCAAAATTCTTAAATTTCAGGGGATTTTAAGGGACATAAGAGGACTGTAATTATAACTAAGTTTTTATTGTAGTAGCTATAATGTACTATTCAGATTAAAGAATGACTTTGGTATACAGGCACCTGTAAAAGATCCAAGGTAACAAAACAAAGGACACTTAACAGCTTTATTCTACTCTTCATAATTATGAGATTAATGCTTCCTTTTCAGATATGAAGCTCATGAAGTTACCTTTTGATCAGAATTAGGCTTCCCATGTTGATTTGCTAATCAGGGGAAAATGTGATAATGAACTAACAATTGTAACAAGTCTGCTTATAATTCCGTTTCTCATTGTATATTAATACACTTTGATACTGTTTTACAAAGCAGTGTATAGTTTATCACTTAGCATGATTTTTTTCCCTATAACCCACTCACTTTTGCATTTCTAAATCTACAAGTAAAAAGCCAGACTCTGGAAATGTGAAGACAGCACCAAGGTATGGATACACTTGGCCAAGAAACATCTCTCTTTTTTTAATAATCAAATATCATTAACTCATAGGATTATGAATTAAGACAGATTTTTTTAAATTCATGGCAGATCTTCCACTATATTCAACTGTCTTTCCTTTAACCTTATTAGCACATAGTAAGTTATTTGGCTTTTCATCTTGATTTTTCTGTTTCTTTCTTTCTATTTTAAAAGAAAGCATTTGACCAAATGGCCTTCACAGATTCAAATTTTTCTCTAGATCTGGTGAGAAGTGTCTAAAATAAAATGACATTTCTAGCCCATAATTTGAAGAACTGTGCTTATAAATCAAACAAGATCATATACAGTGACATATTAGTAGATAATTTACATTCAAGTATTCTGGCTTAAAAAGGAGGATTAAGAAAAGTGATAACATATAGAAATACAGCTACCAGCAGATAAAAGAAATTTTTAGTTAACAATGCACTTTGCTTCTGTGATTTAAGCATGAAGCAGAGTAAAATTATGCAAAGCATTGTTACTCATCAGATTTTCAGCTCATTTTCATAAAAAACTAGCAAATGAATAGAACAGTAGAGAGAGATGACTTGAGAAGAACAGGAAGAAGTAATTAGAAATGTATTTTGAAAAATTATTCTCAAGTTATTTGGTTAATTTATTATGATCATACTTACTCTTAAACGCCCAGTCACAATAAAAGGAACTGAATTTCTATATATACAAAACTAAAATAAGCAAACAAAAAAAAATCCTACAATCCCATTTAAATATTAATGACAGTAGCATGAGGTTTAAATATATAGAGAACAAAACATACATCGTTATGTTAACAGTGACTATATCCAGGCAGTAGGCTTTAAGGCAGATTTTGTTTATAATATCAATTTTCTGCTGCCTTTCTCCTCACATTAAAAATAATGAATCACTCTTTGGGATATCCACTATCCAGATATACAAGGATGAGAAAGAAAGGCAGCTAACTTTTTTCCATCTTTGGTACTTCTCTCCAAAATGACCATTATAGCATGGCATTTTAGTTACAGGAGTCATGTCCCACTCAGGTATCCTGCAGATCACTGTGACCTTTCAATGCCAATCTGAAAGAAACATATTCCTTTTTGTTAAAAGTAAAATTTTTTTTATAAAGTAAAATAGGAAATAACCTGAAACTGGGCACTGATGCTGGGAGGTTTCTTCTTCTTGTGCAAATGAAGAAGAGACTTGGTAATTCGATCCTGTAAGGTCAGTCTTGTTAGGTGTTTTAAAGAATTTACCTCTAGTAAGTGCTGAAAACAAAGGGGAAAATACCAAATTATTCACATAAATTAATTTAAGAATAGGAAAAACAAAATTGTAAGCCACTGTTCATTATTTCTTATGTATAATGACTGAGGTGGATATGGGAGATTCTGCACTCCTTCTGCTTTCCTGCAAAAGCTTTCCAGCTAAAAAGAAAACTATATTTCCCAAACTCTCTTGCATCTTGGGTCCCAGATGTGATTGCAGTTCATCAATTAAATTGCCACATGTGAAACCAGGAAGGCATTACTGAGGCAGAGCCTCTGGCTACTAGCTTCTGTTTCTGCTGGCAAGCATGTACATGAAAGTGCTTTCGTTTTCTGTGGTCCCAGTGTCCAGGTACTACTTTTGTGAGTGCTGAGAGGCAGAGTGCAGAACTTTGGTACTGTCACTGCAACTCTAGTAAATACACCTTAGCCCTAGAGCCAATAGTTGTAGCAGCTTCTTCCTGATTCCTGGATTATACTACAGGTGGTGTGTGACTGGAAGCAGCAGCTACAAAGGCAGCTTCCAGATTTCCTAGCTTTCTGACGACAACTGGGGTCAGTTCTCCTCTTTGTTTTAATTCTCTGAAACTCTAAGGCTTCTAATGATTGTCTAAGCATCTCCCTGAATTAAGCCCCTTTCTACTTAAAATAACTACAGTGATTACTGTCATCTGCAACTGAATCCTGACTCATAGAGACAATAAATTAAATTAAATCCCAGGGTTATACCAGGTATGCCAAGAATATATACACAGAAAAAAAGAAAACATAGTCCCTATCAACCTTCATCCTCATGTGCTAATTATTAACCTTAATAATAAGATAGGAGTTACGCATAAAGCAACTAAAGAATACAAAATAGGATATTAGTAAAGTGATTGGGAGCTTTTAAAAGTCTAAAAAATATTAACTTTGACAATATAAACATTAAAAAATAAAAACTTTCAAGTGGCAATAAGTACAATATATGCTTAAACAATTACAACTAAGAAAAAACATTTCCAACAATGACAAAGACTTATCATCTGTATATAAGAACTGTAAAAATCCTTTAAAAATATATCCCACCATAATAAATGAGTAGAAGACCTGAATATGCAATTCTCAAATAAAGTATAAATGACAACATAATGACAATCAATCTCACTTGTAATCACAGAAATACACATTTTCTTTTAAAGAGATTTTCTGCAGATTGTCAAACATAATAAATTCTGACAAAACCCAGTATTCGTGAGGATGTGGAGAAATAGGCATTTTATGCACTGTTCTTAGGAATGCAAATCAGTATAACTTTCCTGATAAGCAATTTCACTTCCAGATATTTATTTAAAGAGATTATCAAACAAGATCTGAATGTTATTTCTAACAATGTACTTCAAAACATAGTGAAAAATTATGAACAGAGATTTGCAATAATATGCAATTCTTTTCATAAAGTATGCTTCATTCACACAAATGAATACTATACAGCTCATAAGGATACTGTAAACCTGTATTTACTAACAAGGAAAAATATTTGCAAATACTACTGACCAAAAAAAGCCACATAAAACAATAACTTATATTCAAAATGTCATGTGTATGTTGAATTTTGGAGGGTTTTTGCTTTATTCTTATTAGTATTTTTCAATTCTCACAAGAAGATTCATTGTATATTAAGAAAAAATAATTTTACACGCTGATGAAGACTCAATTAGAAGAATTTTATAGTTTATCCATAAGTAAAAACAAACTAGCACTAAAGATGAAAATGATTTTTCCCCCTATTCAACACACTTTCCAGAAAAAGACCATGGAAATAATGGTTTCATTTTATAAACCTGTATCTAAACCAATGGTAAAATTCATTACTAAATGTTTGTCACTGTGTGAAAAAACATCATATGGACTGTGTAAAACAAATAACTATAAAAAAAAAGTCCTCGCTTTGAAGGAATTTAATTTGAAAAGTAAAAAAACAAAAACAAAAACAAAACCTCACATTCATTCTCACCTCAGTGTCTTTCCAATTTTTTCATCTGCTTGGGATACCCTATAGGCAGACCTTCACATCGCTTGATTTTTCTTGGCATTGATTAACACACAAACTTCGTTATAAAGATCTTGCTTAAATACCCAAAAAGTAGCCCACTTCTAAGTCAAGAATATGTCACTTCATTTTCCTCTTTGAACATAATATGGTGTAAATTATCCTTTCATTTATTTGCTTAATTGTATGTTGTTTTTTTTATTTCTCTAAAAGATAAACTGTGAGAGAGCAAGGACTCTGACTAGACTGTTTATCCCCATAACCACAATGCCAAAAACAGTGTCTGGTACAGAGTAGGTAATTAAATAAACATTAGTTTAGATTAAGGCATAAAGGGTTATCAACTAACGATTTTTGAGCAATGTTTCCTCAGCAACTGGGACTAGACTTCTACCCATAAAACTTACCATGATCAAATCAATCAACAAATCTACACATCAGGCTCTGTTCTAAATGCTAGGAATACACTGCATTCAACTATACAGAAACAGCCTACAAGGACATTAAAAAATAAATGATAATTTGAGAGTTTTTAAGATTTATGAAGAAGATAAAATAGGGCAAGGGAGAAAAGGGAGACAAGACAGAACAGAACTAGATGGAGAGCAGGAGGCTAAGGACCCCAGAGAGATGAACCCAGTTAAGTGATGGCTGCAAAAGCTCAGCATAAGGTGATAAAAACCAAAAATTAGAACGTGGGTGAGAGATCTAGCAGAAAAGGGATATAGAGTTAATTCCCTTCTTAGGTCTTCTGTTCATTATCTACTTTATTCCTTTCTTAATTCCATCTTCACTGTTTAGTTTATTCAGCTTAATTAATCAGTACATTCTTTTTAAATCAATTATTTACTACTTGCTGTGCAAGGTACTATAGACACAAAAATTAAGAATATATTGCTCATACAGCAAAGGAAACCATCTCAAAACGAAAAGACAAACTACCAATTGGGAGAAGATATTTGCAAATCATATAGCCAATAAGGGATTAATATCCAAAATATATAAAGAACTCATACAGCTCAACAACAACAAAACAACAACCCTATTAAAAAATGCGCAAAGGATCTGAACAGAAGTTATTCCAAAGAAAATATACAGATGGCCAACAGGCACGTGAAAAGATGTTCAACATCACTAATTATTAGGGAAATGCAAATCAAAACCACACCCATTGCCTCACACCCATCAGAATGGCTATTATTAAAAAGACAAGAAATAACAAGTGTTGGAGAGGATGTGGTGAAAAGGGAGCCCATGTACACTGCTGGTGGGAATGTAAACTGGTGTAGCCACCAATTTGGAGTATGGATATTACTCAAAAAATTAAAAAAGAACTACCATATGATCTAGCTATTCCATTTCTGAGTATTTAATCAAAAAACACCAAAATACTAATTCAAAAAGATATATACACCCTTATGTTCACTGCAGCATTATTCACAATAGCCAAAACTTGGAAACAAACTAAGTGCCCATTGACAGAAGAACGGTAAAGATGATGTGTATGTGTACACACGTACACACACACACACACACACACACACAATGGAATACTAGTCAGCCATAAAAAAAGATGAAATCTTGCCATTTGCGACAACATGGATAGACCTTGAGGGTATTATGCTAAGTGAAATAAGTCAGATGAAGAAAGACAAATACTGTGTGATTTCACTCACACATGGAAGATAAACAAACAAATACATAGATACAGAGAATAGATTGGTGGTTACCAGAGGAGAACAGGGGTTGGAGGAGGGCAAAAGGGGTAAAGGGGCACACGTGACAGTGACAGATGACAACTGGACTTTTGGTGGTGAGCATGAGGTAGTCTATACAGAAGTCAAAAAATAATGGTGTACACCTGAAATTTATATGTTATAAACCAATGTTACCTTCACCAAAAAAAGAAAGAAAATATTGCTCATGTTGTTAAAGAGGACTAAAATGGGTGATAAAATTAACTTCAAGTTTTGAGCCTGAGTGACTAAAATGGAGAATAACACACTAAAATCACTTTGGGCATCAAGTCTGAGAGATGAGCAGGGTGTCAAAGTAGAAATGTACAGCAGGGCAACTATGAGTAAAAGAGACTGGAAATTAAAAGGTCATGTTAGAAAAGTAGATTTAACAGAAGTGACCATTTCAAGGAATGAGAGGGAACAAATTCTGAGAGAGAAAAGGGAAAGTACTATCAAAACTATATTAACAGAGGGCTAAGAGCTATTGAAGGATATATTTGTTAAATATTTGCCTATGTTTATTCAGGGTTGTAATAAAAATAAAGCATCTTATCTTATCTTATCTATATCCATAAAATGACGTACTAGAAGTGCCCACAAGAGGGAAGACTAAATCTTATTTCCAGCAGCTATAAAAGTTGTACAATGAATGCAATAATGCTTCATATAGCAAGGTAAGAAAGAGGGTGCAGATTTCACAAAAGAGCAAAAGAAGAAGGAAAAAAAAACAATTTCAGGTTATCTACACTTCTGTTTCTTCTTTCCACATTATATATAAAACTAACTCAATGCAACAGAAATATTCAGCAAATGACCACGGTCAGTGAGGATATAGGGTCTCCCATTTTAATTTTTATTAACATATACTTGTTTTGACTTGATCTGAAATGGACTGAAAGAAATAAGCAAGACATTCATTAAGCATAATTAGAAAGAGAGGCATATTTAAAAAAGAGGAGGAAAAATACGATGAAGAGTGAGGTTACTAAACAAACCACACATCATACATACATGTATGTGTACAGATAAGCCACAAATTCAGCTCTAAATGTTCTGGTAGAAAATATGAAGAAAAATACTTATTATTTATTGACTGCTAAGCATGCATGTATCTAATCCTAACGTATAATGCCCTGCATTAGAAATGACGGGACACAGGTTAAGACAAGTTAGAGAACTTACTCTAAAAACCACAGAGCAAGTAACGGATCTAGAATTTGAATGGAGATCAGTCTGACTCCAAAGTCTATATTCTTATAGGCTATTTTGCCTCTCTAATATTAAACATATGTATTTGAATCTATGAGACACACTAAACACAAAAATAGCCACATTTAATTTAAAAAGAGAAAAACACATGGGATTCCTATGATTGATGATTCAATAGAATTATTTACTTCAGATGTATCCAACCTATTCACGCTGGCTATCATATGAAGTTGAAGAAGTTATCCACTTGAGGAGAGTGAAAAGAACAGTGCAAATAGCGAGGCCCAAAAGCAGCATGCAAAATACTAAATGGCTATAGAACGAAGAAAAAAAAAAGGACAAATGAACAGATACAGACGTTTGATAACAAATTTGGCCTCCTTTCCTCTGTCTCTACATAAAATCTTTTCATGCTAAGAACATAAGTGAAAACCATGTAAATTAATTTCCTTTGTGCTCTGTGGTTTAAAACAATATTTACATTATCAGACACCACATCAGCAGTGTATTAAGCCTAAGGTGACTTAAGCAGAAGAAAAATAAAGACAGAGTCATTTCCTTATTCTTGAACTAGAGAATCATGAGAATAAACAGCTCCTTTAAAATTTTGGAATTATGTTCATCAACAAAGTTACAAGTGACAGGATTCTTTCTTTGGAAGGGTCCAAGAGAAAGAAACAGTAAGATTTTTCTTTCTTTAGTAAATGCAATAAATATTTTTGGAATGTCATCTCTGCATAAAGAATGTAGATCAGAGGAGGCAAATTACGGCCCGTGGGCCAAATCTGTTCTTACACCATTTTATACGGTAGAAAAAAAAATTAATGGCACAGGAAAAATTACATGAAACTCAAATTTCACTGTTATTGGAATACAGTCACAATCACTCAATTACGTATCGTCTATAACTGCATTTGTGCTACAACAGCAGAGCTAAGTAGTTACAACAGAGATGAGAGACCTGCAAGCCTCCATGGACCTTTTCAGAAAAACCTGGCTAACTAGCACTAATCAGAAATTATTTTACAATCAAGTAAAACTCAGAATTTGATCTTAACCTGACTCAAGGAGAAATGAAAACATCTACATAAAGAGGCCATTACTCAACAAAAATTTCATTCGTATTCAGAAGCTTTACAAATGCTAGAAAATGGAATATATCACAAATAAATATTTATCAGAATAATTAAGCTTGGCCATTTCATAATATCCAGTGTTATTTCTGAAATGGATTCAACTGAATGCACACAATTAATCCCTATTTGGGGTATAAATAAGGTATTTCTTGTCTTTAATTCAAAAAGATTGTTTGCATGAGTAATAAAAAAATAATTATGAAGGAAGACACCAATGGAAAAAGTTTTTTTATAACACTCACCTTTGGAAGGCCAGGTTTGGATTTGAAGTTTTTGTTTCTCCTATAGAAACAAATCAAACATTAGAAAAAACTACTGTAGAGGTGAATGACTTCAAGGACTCTACTGAAACAACAGATTCTATACTCATTTCCAAGATATAGGTCCTCCACATGAAAACACTGTTTGATTCAACTAAGCAAGCACCTTAGGGAAAGAAGAATAAGCAAGGGAAAAAGAGAACAAGAAAAGAGACGACAGCTCTGTACTATAGCTAGGCATAAACGGATTTAAGCCTGATGATCAGTAACATAATTTTGTACATTCAAAGCTAAAGTTGCATTTTCTTTTGGATGTTAATAGGGCTCTGCCTTCTTATACCTACAGAAACTCAGTTTCTGTCATTTTAAGATTTTAAATAGATGCTCTATTTCATAAATTTTTAAAAGGTACTTTTCACTAAAACTTATGATCCTCTACTTTTGGAAATTAAAAATTCTCTTCTGCTCTTTTTTTTTCTTATTCATAACTCAATATCATACTTATATCAAGAAGGTTGTTTTATGGCTACAGAAAAAAAGAGAATAAAGCCCAATGCTTATGAACATGGGCTGGGAAGTCAGAAAGACCTGGGCTTGCATCTAAACTCTACCACCTACTAAGGTATGATTTTAACTTTTTTCTTTTTTTTTTTTTAAGATTGGCACCTGGGCTAACAACTGTTGCCAATCTTTTTTTTTTTTTTCTGCTTTTATCTCCCCAACCCGCCCCCGTACACAGTTGTATATCTTAGTTGCATGTCCTTCTAGTTGTGGGATGTGGGACGCCGCCTCAACATGGCCTGACGAGCAGTGCCATGTCTGCGCCCAGGATCCAAACCCTGGGCCGCCACAGTGGAGCGCACGAACTTAACCACTCGGCCACGGAGCCGGCCCCTGATTTTAACTTCTTTAAGCCTTGGTTTCATTATGTAATAACGTAAAATGAGGATGGTAATACACTAACCTCTTAGAGTTGTTGTGAGGATTAAATGGGCTAATTCACAATTCTGGAGTACAGCAAGACTTACATAAATTGAACCTCTTAACACTGTTAAGCAATGACTTAGACAGGGATTAAGGAATCCAATTCAGTCAGACCTCTAGCTACTGGTCAGACCTCTAGCTAGTAGTCAAAAAATATGCTTTGGAAATGTCTGAAATATGCTGATATAGGTAGCTGAGAACTTTTTACTAATCCACCATGCATGGTTATATCCATGTCCTCAAACCAGTTCTATGATCAAATAATGAGGAATGCCAGGCTCAGATAAGTGTTATATATCACTATATACGATCCCATCCAACATTATGGAGGGGATTTCCCTGACTAATTTGCTAGGACTACCAGAATTAAAGAACAATTGCAGTTAAAGACTAGGAATCCTAAAAAGAGCTAAGTTTTTTCTCTCTCTGGAGGTAGGGTCTGTCAAAGAGCAATAAAGAATCATCTACATAGTGAGTACATTCAACCATTATTCTCTTGGTGAAATGAAAACAAACAAACAAACAAAACACTGGCTTTATAATGCATGAAATTCATAGCTCTAAATAATGACTACTTTTGAGTCTTGTTTCACTCAAAATTCTACTCACGAAAATAATGCTTCACCATCACCCCTCTTCATTTTTTCAGCCAGAAATTTTAAACTAGTCATGAAAAGCAATCCAAGTTACTAATCAATACTAACGTGAGAATTCCATGGGCTCTCTCCAAGAGTTTGCTGCTAGCTGAATTAGAGAATATCCCATCTTTATCAAGCAAGGAGGTGCTACTTGATAGTCTGCTCTGGCGAATCCCAGTTCTGCCGTTCCAGGAAAAATCAAATGTATCACTGTAAAAATTAAATATAGTACAATTTGTTTTAGTTAACTGAGACACCTCTAATTAACACTCTCTAAAATGTTTAAATAAGTAAAATAAGACTTTATAAACTTAAGTTGAAATTTAGAAAAAATGCTAAACCAGCAGAAAATGGTTTTATCAGAGAGATCACCAATCAATTAGGACTAACATTTTATTTATTCAGAACAAAAAATTTCTATGGATTCTGGCATATTCACACACAAATGTGAATGTAGATGAGGATATCATGCAGCTAGTATCTTTAAGCATATTATTAACCATTTAACAATCAGTAAATAATATAAGGTATTATAATGTAATGGCTTTTGTCTTTGTTAGATTTTAGAACTTCCAAATGCAAGTGAAGGCATTTACAATTCTAACAGGCCATTCCATTCTCTTAAATGTTTAATTTCCCTCTGGGAGGTCTTATTTACATACTCACTCACTACACACATACCAACTAAAGTTACAAAGCTCCTTTTATGGGCTGAGTACTCTTCTAGGCACTGGAGGTGCAGGAATGAACAAAACAGATAAAATTACCAGTGATTACAATATAAAGACTAGGGGGCTTTCTAGGTAAAGACAGCAAACTGGAAACACATTTGGATTCCTCCAGAAACCCAAAAAACACTACTAAAATAACTGTTGAAAGAATAAACACTTAAGAATTAAGGGAAATACTAAGAGACAGCAGTAACACATTTTTGAAATATGGAAAGTAGATGAATATAGAAAGCACATTGCTTTCTCAGTAGTAAGCCTGAGAAAGAAATAATAAACCGGATGTGGGGAGAGTTGAGAAGCATTCCTATTTACTCTGCAGAACTCCCAAATGGCTTCAGAGTTGCTGGTACCAAGTATTTCGGGAAGTGGTGGGAAAGGAGGGTTAAAACAGGAACACTACTAGTTGAATGTTGGGGTAAGAAGCAGCTAGAAAGAGAACTCAAGAACACAATCCCATTCACAATTGCAACAAAAAGAATAAACTATCTTGGAATAAAAGTAAAAGTAAAATACCTATACAATGAAAACTAGACTTTCTTGAAAGAAATTGAGACAACATAAAGGATGGAAAGACATTCCATGCGCATGGATTGGAAGAATAAACATTGTTAAAATGTCCATGCTATCTAAAGCAATCTACAGATTCAATGCAATCCCAATCACAAACCCCATGACATTCTTTACAGAAATAAAACAAGAATCCTAAAATTCATATGGGGCAATAAACGACCCTGAATTGCTAAAGCAATCCTGAGGAAAAAGGACAAGGCTGGAGGCATCACAATCCCTGACTTCAAAATACACTACAAAGCTATTGTAATCAAAACAGCATGGTACTGGTACAAAAACAGACACATAGATCAATGAAACAAAATTGAAAGCCCAGAAATAAAACCACATATCTATGGACAGCTAATCTTTAACAAAGGAGCTGAGAACATACAATGGAGAAAGGAAAGTCTCTTCAACAAATGGTGCAGGGAAAATTGGACAGACACATGTAAAAGAAGGAAAGTAGTGCGTTTTCTTATACCATTCACAAAAATAAACTCAAAATGGATCAAAGACTTGAAGGTAATACCTGAAACCCTGAGACTTCTAGAAGTAAATATTGGAAGTACATTCTCTAACATCAGTGTCCTAGAAGGATCTTTTCAGACACCATGTCTTCTCAGACAAGGGAAACAATAGAAAGAATTAAAAAATGGGACTTCATCAGACTAAAGAGCTTCTACAAGGCAAGGGAAAACAGGATTGAAACAAAAACACAACCTACCAACTGGGAAAAAATATTTGCAAATCACATATCTGACAAAGGGTTAATCTCCATAATATATAAAGAATGCACACAACTGAACAATAAAATCTCAAAACACCCGATCAAAAAATGGGCAGGAGATACAAACAGATATTTCTCCAGAGAAGATATACAGATAGCCAATAGGCCCATGAAAAGATGCTCATCATCACTGATCATTAGGGAAATGCTCACAAAAACTACACTAAGTATCACCTTACACCCATTAGACTGGCTATAATGACCAAGACAAAAAATAACAAATGTTGGAGAGGTTGTGGAGAAAAAGGAACCCTCACACACTGCAAGTGGGAATGCAAATTGGTGGAGACACTATGGAAAGCAGTATGGAGATTTCTCAAAAAATTAAAAACAGAAATACCGTATGACCCAGCCATCCCACTACAGGGTATCTATCCAAAGAACTTGAAATCAGCCATTCAAAGAGACCCATGCGCCCCTAGGTTCACTGCAGCATTATTCACAATAGCCAAGACATGGAAGCAACCCAAGAGCCCATCGACCACTAATTGGATAAAGAAGATGTGGTATATATACACAATGGAATGCTGTTCTGCCATAAAAAAGACAAACTCATCCCATTCAACATGGATGGACCTGGAGGGTATTAAGCAAAATAAGGCAGACAGAGAAAGACAAATACCATATGATTTCACTCATATGTGGAAGATAAACAAACACATGGACAAAGAAAACGGTTCAGTGGTTACCAGGGGGGAAGGGGGCTGGGGGTGGGCACAGGAGGTGAAGGAGAGCACTTACATTGTGAAGGACAAAAAATAATGTACAACTGAAATTTCACATGTTGTAAACTATTAGGAACTCAATTTAAAAAAAGTGAAGAAAAAACAACCAAAAAAAGCTATCATTAATACATTTAGAGAGAAAAGAGAAAATATTCCATCTATTAAATAAGAACAAGATGCTATAAAAGATAAACATCAAGGAAACAAAATTAGTAACAAAAAGCTCCTGAAAATTAAAAATGTAACACTAATGAAATGCAGAAGAATATACCCATTCCCTCATTCAAAAATATTCATTGAGCATCAACTAGTGCCAATTATTTTTCTAGCACTAGGCATATACCAATCAACAAAACAAACAAAAATCTCTACCCTCATGAGGCTTAAATTCAGGTGGAAGGAGACAAACAATAAAACACAAAAGAAAATACTATATCACATCTCAGAGAATAGGGCTTAAGGAAAAATTTTAAACAGGGATGAAGGATAAAAATTGCCAGTATGCTAGGCTTTTTAATAGATAGTCAGGGGAGGCCTCATTGATAAGATTCCATTTAAACAGAGATGTGAAGAAGATAAAAAAAGCAAATCAAATAGTTATCTGGAAGAGCATTCCATGCAGAGAGAAGTGCAAAGACAAAGTTCACGAGGCAGGAATGCTGTTAATGAATCTGAGATATATGAAGTAAGTCACCAAGGCTGAACTGGATTAAGTAGGGGAAGTAAGAATGGTAGATCATGGGGGTCAGCCCAGTGGTGCAGCAATTAAGTGCGCACGTTCCCCTTGGGTGGTCTGGGGTTCGCCCGTTCGGATCCCGGGTGCGGACATGGAACCACTTGGCAAAAGCCATGTGGTAGGTGTCCCACATATAAAATAGATGAAGATGGGCATGGATGATAGCTCAGGGCCAGCCTTCCATGCCAGGGCAATTCACGTAGAAGTAGTGAGAAGTGGTGAAATTCTGGATATCATTTTAGGGTAAGTCAATATGACTTGCTGACAGATAGGATGTGGAATGTATGAGAAAGAGGGAATTAAAGATGACTTCAAGACCTTTTACTAGTAACAGGAGATTTAGGGATAAGGAATTGGGAGAGATCATTCCTTATAAAGCAAAACAAAACAAGATGGAAAATCATAAACAAAATACAGTCATGCATCACTTAACAACAGAGATACTTTCTGAGAAATGCTTCTTTAGGTGATTTGTCACTGTGTGAACATCATAGAGTGTACTTACACAAACCTAGATGGGATAGCTTTCTATACACCTAGGCTATATGGTACTAATCTTACAGCTCTACCATTGTACATGTGGTCCACTGTCAACTGAGAAGTTGTTATGTGTCACAAGACTGTAAATCAATCAAGTAGACTCAATACCCAAACAATAGAGTTTCTAGATAGATCCTCCAAGATTCTGAGACTTAGAGACAGAGAAGAGATGTCACATACAAAAGCTCAAGAATCAGATCAAGGGCATATATTTAAAAACCTACAGCCAACATTATGCTTAATGATAAAAAAAAAAAACCTGGAAGATTTCCTTCTAAGATTGGGACCAAGACAAGGCCATGAGCTTGTGCCATTCCTATTTGACATTGTACTGAAATTTCTAGCCAGGTCAGTTAAGAAGAAAAAGAAATAAAAGACATCCAAATTGGAAAGGAAGAAGTAAAATTACACTTATTCACATAAGACATGATCTCATGTAATTAAGGAATCCACTAAAAAAACTATTAGAACTAACAGATGAGTTCAGTGAAATTACAAAATTCAATTATATTTCTACACAACAGCAATGAACAATTCAAAAATGAAAGCAAAACATTATTTACCACAGCATAAAAAATAATATACCTAAGAATAAATTGAACAAAACAAGGATAAGACTTGTAGACTAAAACTAAAAAATATTGTTAAAAGAAATTAAAGATCTAAATAAGCGGAAAGATATTTCATGACAATACTCCCCAAACTGATCTATAAATTCAACACAACCCCCATCAAAACCCCAGCTGCCTTTTTTGCAAAATTGTCAAGCTGATCCTAAAATGCATATGGAAATGCAAAGAACCCAGAATGGCCAAAACAATGTTGAAAAAGAACAAACCTGGAGGAATTACAGTTCCCAATTTGTAAACATATTACAAAGCTACAGTAATCAAGACAATATGGTACTGCAATAAAGAAAGACACATAGGTCAGTGGAATAGAACTGAGAATCCAGAAACAAACACTTTCATTTATGGTCAATTGAGTTTGGACCAAATTGTTAAGACAATTCAATGGGGAAAGAACAGTATTTTCAACAAATAGTGCTGGGATAACTGGATATCCACGTGTAAAAGAAGGAAGTTGGAGCCTTATTGTACACCACATAAAAAAATAAACTCAAAATGGATCATAAATCT